AAACTTTTATTTATACAACAAGGAATTGCTACATCCCAATCAGTTCGGTTTTGTACCAAATAAATCGACCTACCACATCCTTCACAAAACAACAAACTATATCAAGAATGCATGGAAAAATGGTAAACATGTTTTGATGGTTTCCATCGATTACAAAAATGCTTTTAACTCTCTATGGTGGCCAGCGCTCTTCAATCGTTTAAAACAATTCCAATGTCCTAAAAATCTTTATCTTACTCTAAGGAACTACTTACAAGACAGGGAAGTATGCATTACGGACACAGCACAAGTAATAACAAGACAAATTAACTGCGGCTGCCCACAGGGGTCCCGATCGGGACCTGGGTTATGGAATATCATGTACGATGAGTTGTTGCACATCAATCCTACTAACATTCTGGCACCATGGACAATACAAGGGTTCGCCGATGACACGCTGGCACTACTTGCGGGGAACAACAGTGAAAAACTGCAAGTGGAGGCGAACAAACTGCTGGACAGCATATACAAATGGAGTATAGACAATAAATTGACTATAAATATCAAAAAATCTGAGTGTGTGTTACTTTCGAAGGGTCATCAACTACAAAAAGCCCCTAGCCTTAAAATAAATAATGAAAGGATTTCTCATACAAGAAATCTTAAATATCTTGGCATTTATTTTGATCAAGGGCTTAAATGGAAAACGCACATTGACTATGCCTGCGAAAAAGCTGGAAAAATGGCCAACTTATTGTGCTATCTTACAGGAAAAAAATGGGGCATGAACAGTCATACATTAATAAACATCTATAGGCAGGTAATAGAACCGATTTTACTATATGGAGCACCAATCTGGGGACAGGCAGCTACAAAAATCCATAATAAAAGAGCATTACAAAAAATTCAAAGAATTAGCTTACTCAGAATAACAGGTGCTTATCGGACAGCCCCAACATCGGCTCTTCAAGTAATTGCAGATATCCCACCAATACAGTTAAAGGCTAAGGCCTTGATGGCTTCTTGGAAGTTAAGCAATCTAAAAATTTCTGAAGATAAAGAAAAGGAAATCCAGACTTATTTTGAAATAGGAATTCTTCCCAACTTAGAAGTTGATCACTTTACATCTACCATGGAATTTTCTAACAAATGCAGATTTCAACCACAATTACATCCAGCCTGTTTTCCCAACTTTAATTTGGAAGAACAAAACACAAATAACAGCACGACTCATAAATTATACACTGATGGATCTAAACAAAACAATGGAGTGGGAGCAGGCATAGTGCACCTTAATGTCAAGAAAAATCTCTTTATATGGCAAGAGGAATTCAAACTTCATAAACTTAGCACAGGGTATCAAGCCGAACTTTATGGAATACTTAAAGCTCTTCAGTATACTAACAAAATAAACTATCTAAAAGGAAAACATATCTGCATATGTTCAGACAGTAGGGCAGCACTTCTCAGTATCATTAACGGCAACCAAAAAAACGATCTTCACCGGCAAATATCTAAGGAACTGGCGACTACCAGAAGTAACATTACGCTCCAGTGGACGCGTGCTCATGTTGGTAATACAGGAAATGAGGAGGCAGATCGCCTTGCTAAAGAAGCCGCAATTAAAGACATAGAGCCGGTTTTCCTTGAGATCTCCACCAAAAACATTAAAAATATTATTCATCAGACAATGTACTCAATGTGGCAAAGGATCTGGGAAGAGGAAACAACTGGAAGAGCTACATATTGCTTTCTGCCAAATATTAAACAAAGGAGCCAACTTCAACACATTAAAATAGACTATATTACAACACAATTATTGACAAACCACGGGAACTTTAAGGCCTATCTCTATAGGTTTGGCCATAGCATTACTCCTACTTGTGAATGTGATGGCACCTCTAATCAGGATAACAAACACTTGATATACTACTGCAAGAAATTTCAACAACAGAGGAACAAACTGATCCACGCTGTTCTTCAAGAATGCATTGCCTGGCCGTGCGACACTAGTGTTTTAATTGAAAATAAAAACATCTACAATGAACTCACTGCTTTTGTTTCAGCCACAAAGGCGCTAGAACTCAACACCAGCAGGTAGCTGGTTCGTTTCAACACGCGAATTGAGTTGTTTGCTCTTTGTGTACAATTGTTTGTTAGCATTTTTAAGCAGCTGTGTCTATTTCAAGTGGGAATTTAAATACCGCTGCCGCCTTACATTCCAAATGTACATTATTTTGTTATGTTTTTATATCTAGTAATTTTGTGGTTTTAAAATAAACTACGTGATGCGGCTCATGACCTCCCTCTTCCTCTTATTTTCTCTTCCTACTGTCTTCACCCCCTTTCGGCACCTGCCAAATACCTTTCACTTACGTCTACCTTCTTCTCACTTCTTTTCATCTCTTTGAGGATATACCTACGAGTAATGCCTCCTATCACCTTTCATAAAATAAAATAAAAATACAAGTCATTACTCGCAAGCCACCTATTGTGGACATCATCAACCTCCACTACAACTTCTGGAGCCTTAAATGGAGCCATGATATCAGCACATTCAGCTGCAACATCTCTGCTAACCAGTTTGAAAGGAATAATTCTGTTGACACCATTCCTCCATACATCCACAACTATCTAAACACCAATCCTCCACAGTACAACGATATCCAAATGTTTAAAGATGGCTCAAAACTTGACAGCAAGGTTGGCTGCGCCTCCGTGGACGACCATGAAATTCACAGTAAACAGTACAGGTTATCAGACCACTGTACTGCATTTCAGGCATAGCTAACTGCTATTGACAAGGCCACCAACTGGGTTTTGGTACACTACAAACATGCAACTATAGTCATACTCACGGACGGACTGTCTTTCTGCTCTTTCCATCATTAACAGCAAGAAACAACACCCCATCGCAACTAACATCAGAAAGCAACTCAACAAACCACTTCTACATTAATTGGACTCATGGACATCAAGGTACTGCCAGAAATGCGAGGGCCAACCAACTGGCAAAGGCAGCAGCCGACAATGACTCCTTGGACATAGCCTATGATAGGATTAGTCACTCTGCCATTAAAAACTTGCTTTTCGAAGATCATCTTTACTCTTGGCAGTGCAACTGGAGAGACAACCACAATATCACTACTTTTAGTTACATTCCGGACATTAAGGATTACTTCAAATTCAACTGGATACAGCTCAACACCCACTTATGTCAGTTCCTAACAAATCATGGAAAGTTCTCCAGTTATCTTCACAGGTTTGCCATCAAGGACACCCCACTGTGTGCCATTTGTGATGAAGTTGATGACGCTGACCATCACATTTTCAGCTGTGTGCGCCTGGAATCTGAATGTTTGAACATCAAGCTAATCAAGCTTCCAAAAATAACATCCCTTGGTCATGCTACAAGGACTTTCTTCAGAACAAAGAACTGTATACAGTAATACCTCGACTTACGCGATTTTCGATTTCTCTCTTGTTTGAGCATCACGCAACTCTTGATTACTCACTCCCCCACACACTATTGTTCAGCTTACATGTTCGGACGTTTCGCGCGGAATCGATGCATAGCTACAATTTATTTTGTGTTATTTATTTCTGTGTTTGTTATATCTATGGAGACTCGAGAGACTACTGTGTCATCCAAACTAGGGTAGAACTGATTCTTCTGCATCAAACAAGAAAAGAAAAACTTTATCTTTGGAATGTAAAGTTAACATTATTAAAGATTTCGATACAAAAATGAAAATTTGTGAATTGGCAAAGAAGTTTGATCTACCGAAATCGACGTTCAGAACAATTATAAAAGGTAAAGAAAAAATTCTCGAAGCTGTGAAAAATGCTCAATCTTTAAATTCAAGCATCATTCGTAAACGTCACATGGCCAAAATTTTTTTCACTTTTTCCCCGTGTTGCAAAAAAAGTACGCGCTCCCCTTCCTTTAAAACTCACATTTGTATATTTTATTATTTTATAGGATTAAAATTGTATTTTAAAAATTTAATTATAGATGAAAAAGCTTTTAATAATACACAAAATAAAAACCATATTTCTAAATTAAGAATTCAAGATGTGTAGAATAGGTGTTTTGTACCTAGTTGGATTCTAATCCAATCATTAACATGCTGAATCTTCTAATATAGACAGTATAAGTTGAACTTTTGGGATATGTTTATCAATGTATCATTAAAAACTGGAGAGTGTCTTACTCATTAGTAGTAAGTTATTTGTAATAGTAGTAGTAATTAGTGTGTTATCAAAGGATGTTATTTTGGATTCACTGGGGCCAAACAATTTTTTTGTCTGGGTTTCTTTTCTCATATGGAAATATGGTTTTTACATTACAGTTGCTATTTTTGGTATTATGAATTTATTCATAATTTCAGCCATTTGAATAGTGTGCATATTATTATTTTTTTTATAAACAAATCTAATAATTTAAAGATACAATTTACATAATTTGTTGAAAATAATTTTCTAGAGATATTCAAAAATTTCGTGTAATGAATACTTGAGATATTATTATTATTTTTTCTAATATCTTCATTTTGTCTTATTAACAAAAATGTTATAGTTTGAATATTAAAACAGTTTCATATAGTTTTTAGAATATTTTGATTGTAAAATTTCCAATAAAGTAATTTAAAATATTTATCTGAAAATCTTGTCATAAAATTAGTTAAATTTATATATGACTGAAGCAGATTATTTTCATTTACATCAAACCAAGTGTCACTTAGAAATAAATTATATGATAATGAATATAAATTAAATGAAAGTTTTCTCTCAATAAAAAATGGATTAATCATATTAATGATAATACAGTAATTGTTTTCCGAGTTAAATGATTTCAATTACCTTTAGTTATTCTGGAGATAATTAAACACTTGTTTCATATAAGTTCCTTTAAAAGTTTTCTTATTTGGCATCTTTATTTATAATAATAAATGTATTTTTTAATTTAATCTTAGCATTTGAAAAACATACAAAAATATATTCAGAAATTTTATTGATAGCAAGTTCATAGTAAAAATATTATAAAACAAAACAATATTCACATATAAAAAATAATTGGCAATAATAACAAGTATTGGTATGTTGACAGAATTATTATGCCTTTTAAATATATTATAAAGAATATCTTTTTATTAATGATCATATGTTTGAATAACATTTGAAATCATTTAAATTTGATAGTTATATAAATTATTAATTATTATTAAATTTTTATTAAAGAAATATGTGTTTAATTAAGTAGATACAAGATTATGCTGCCTTGCATATTCCCAAATTAAAATAGCTCCACTGACATGGACATTAAGAGATCTTATAATTCCTTGCTGTGGAATTTCCACACATACATCCAATAAATGAATCAGGTCAACTGGAATTCCTTCTTTTTCATTTCTATAAAAAGTGATATATTTATAATTATTATACATGGTTATTTCTAAAAATTCAAAATGAAAAATAATTATATCAATAAAATAGTAATTATACAAAAAAATTATAACAACCAGTGGTGTGAGGTGACATTTTATGATAAGGAAGCTGTGCCAACCCTGAATAGAATCATTGGAAGTGTGAAATCCGCAAATTTAATGCAGTTGTCGGGCAAAAACAATGTAAACAACTCCGATAGAAAAAAACGCTCCTGGTGAGAATTAGATCGGAGGTCACTGTTTGTGAAAACAATTAGATGGGAAAGTTGACACACAGGTGTCAAGAATGCACCGTTATTGTCAGCATTTAATGATCATGTGACTCCTTTCCCACAACAATCGAATAGAAGCTCAAGCCCCCAGAAGCTCAGCGCGATTCGTCATGGGAAGTTATAATTGGTAATAGTGCCATCTCAACTCCCGGACCTCCATACAGCAGACCTGATCCAGTTAAAGGGGAGAAGACACCAGTTGAAAGATACCAAGGACTCCTACCTCTTCCATACAGACGATGTTTGCCACATCAACTCTCCGTTACGCCGAGAGGTATTTAGGGGATATTTAGAATGTAAAATTGCTCTCTCTCAACCTAGAGTTAGGCAAGCGACATCGTTTTGTGTAAATAGTATAGCATAACCACATTTAACCTTAGCATTATTATCACCTCCTGTAATCTAGATTTAGCTAACCAATAAATGCATGTTTATTTTGTTAAACCTGTCTATCATTGTTCTAAGGACGGCTTGTTCACCTCCTCGCCACTTGATAAGAACCCATCCAGAACGACAACATGAGCGGTCCTTGCAGACTGTTGCCGAGTAAGTGGTCAGAAGGGATTTACCCTTGGCCCACTGTTTCTCACAGAAGCATTATATGATATTTTGGTGTGTAGCATCCATGAGCTATATCATGTAAGATTGGTGATCTGTAAAGGACATGCATGAATAATCGTATAATCTGGCTGCTTTACATCATTCGATTATTTTCGCCATGGAAGCTATCCCGTATTTGACAAAACTGTGCTTCCATTGGAAATATGCATATAGGAATTTATATTCAAATATACAATAGCAATCTTATCATTGTTTTTCACATGTATAGGTATTTGTAATAAGATACATAATGTGGTTATAATAAAATATTAATTTTAATTAATTCAAAGTACATTAAAATATGAAAATAATCGCACAATAGGTATTTACATATTAGAAAATACAAGAGAAGCAGAGCTTCCACAGCTTCCATGGACGGCATACCACTGATGACAACCCACCTTCAAGTGATTTCCAAGCAGCATGGGAAATCATTTGTCATGTTTACCCTCACATTCCACATGTAAGTATCAAAATGTTTAGCATATGAAATAAGTGACTTATATAAAAAAAACTGTCTTAGACAGTTTTTTGACACTAAAAATAAATTCCATGCAAACTTTGCCAGATATTTGCTTCAAATTGCAGTCATTTCAAACCAAGTCTGATATAAATAATAAACATCTTAAAGCCTGATGAGTATATAATGAAGCATCCAACGATCATCTGAAAGATTGGGCTAGAATTTATTTAATTAAATGATTATATTAATCATTATTATGATTAATATAATCATTTAATTAAACAAATTCTAGCCCGATCTTTCAGGCAATCATTGGATGTTTCACAAGTCTAAATATTTATTTTGTTTTATGTATGTAGATAGAATATCAATTTGTTATAAATTTTATGCCATTCTTTGATCTCAAAATTAGTTCTTATTTAAGCTGAATGAGATATAATTATATGACATTACATTTCAACATCAAAGCTCTACTTTTCTGGTGATAGAATGTAGCAAACATACCTTAGTCTTGTAGTCCTAAAATCTTATGTATATGCTATTATATTACATAATATATTTTTCTGTTCATCCTTAATAATAAGAACTTAAAATAAACAATCAGCATACCTTTGAAAAGTCATGTTTAGAAAAAAAATTATATAAATGTTTTCAGAACTCCTTAGGTTCTGTTTGAAAAAAAAAAACTGCTTTAAAAGACAGCACCCCCAAATAATTTATAATGAGTATGTCTAGCAGTCATGGCTGTTGGTGCAAATTTTTCTGCTCTTGCGATTTGACTTATTATCTTTTTGGAAAATGACTGAATTTTCATCACACAAAAGGAAAACTTTTTACCTTTATCCTAAGATGGATCACAACATAACATAAAGAAACAAATTGGAAGTGAAGAAAATGTTACAGGTAAGTCAATGAAAGAACTGATTCTGTCTTATATGTGCCAAAAAAGAGATTAACGTTCAGGAAGGAATTAAACTTTTGAAACTACAAGCTTCTTCAAATAATAAACTACACTTTTAGAACACATCGTGGATTTGAAATATAATATCAACTCTGTTTTTTACGAACATTGCCCAACTCATAACTACAAAATAGATAAGAATGATGTTATAATAGTACACAAGGAAAAAATTGGCACAAAAGAAAATTTAAGGAAAGCTACGAAATTACTACAGACAAAAATAATAACAACAAGAATCTAAGCATAGAAATTCATAAAAACTGGCTATAACTATTAAAATAGAATGTTTATACAATCGTAGATGGGGCTGTGTGTGGCACTGGGAGTGAGATGTTTCACATTGCGAGGTATGCAAGGGAGGCTGTCAAGTCGGAAGGGAAGGAGGGGAAGTGGGAAGACGCCTGACAGATGTCCACAAGATACAACCTATGTAACAGACTGAAGAGGGGCAAAAGCCCAAAACATGTATCTATATGGATTAAAAGTTGTTGATGAAATTATTTGCCAAGTCGTGACATTGAACCAAGCAAAACTTTTAGAACAATTAGACAGAATGCAGACCTGGATTGAAAACATAGTCTAGATTCAAGATCTACCAAACCAGTATCTATGTCCTTGAAACTGATAAAGAGAGAGATTATGTCAGAACTGACAAGTCAAATACAGAAATAAACGTAATATGTAGTAATTTATATGAAAAGTTTATGAAACTGGAAGACAAAGAAAGAAGAAATAACCTTGTAATTTTGGGTTTAGAGGACGACGATAAAATGGACAATTGTCTATACAAAGTTCAAAAATTATTTATCGATAACTTGCTTGCAGGTTACAGATGTGAATATCAAATGTGCTTATTGAATTGGAAAATTTAAACCTAACGCAAAAAGATTGGTTATTTGTGAATTGTTTTTGAAGATAAATAAAAAATTTATAAAAATATTAGTAACTTGAAATGAAAGGCTCAAACATATTTATTAATGATGATTGCTCACCAAATACTAGAGCTATCAGAAACAGATTAAGAAATGCACTCAAAAGGAGCTATTAATGTGAAATTGCAAAATAATAAATTAATTGTGGACAATAAGGTATTTGCCTGTAATTATAAAGGTGAAATTTTTCAAATGGATAATGAATGACCTTTTTTATGAATATAACTTTTAGTGAGAAACAAGATGATGAAATTAAGAATGATTATAACCAACAATGTTTTATACTTGGACAATGAAGATAATGCAAAACTTCTTTTTTACAATATAGCAGGTCTAAATAATATTTCTTTCCTAACTTCTGAAATTTAATATATAAGATGGATATATTCTGTTTAGTGAAAACATGGCATATTTCACCGGTAATTGAATCAATGTTTTCTTATAAATATAAAATTTACCATCAAGTAGCACACCATCTTGAAGGTCCTGGAAGACCCAGTGGTGAAATTATATTCCAATCATGATTTGTTTTGATTTTATAATTAGTCACTGAAAAGTTTATCAATGTAATAGTGTCCAAATAATAGTTATATTACTTATAGGAATATAAGACACTATTAGTTACCAACTAATAGTGTCTTATATTCTGCCTGATAGTTATTTTGATGACAATTTTAAAAAATTTTACTGCTTATAGGAAATTACCTGTTACTTGAAACTAACTTGATTTTGTGCGCTGATTTTAACACTCATTGGACACCCTGATTATTTGTCATGTTTTACTGGGGCCTGGCAAAGTGCTCTAAGAGCTTCGAAAGATCCAATTGTTAATGATAGAGGAACAATTTTATACAATTTTTGTGAGGATAACAATCTTGTTTGTTTAAATGGTCTATTACCAGGTGACATAAAAGGAAATTTTACTTATCATGCAATAAAAGGAGGAAATGTCATTGATTTTGTAATAGGATCACAAGGAATATATTTTTGTGTTGTAAATGATTTAACTGTTTTAACAGAAATAGGCTCTGATCATTCATTAGTTCTACTAACAATGATCCCATTAGCATCATCTGGTCTATTCAATAAACAATTTTTAGGTAAATGTGCAAGATGGAGGGATGAACTTAAATCCTCATTTTCTGTTAGATTAGATAATGTCTTATTAGATGAGTATGGAGGAACAGTCATACTTGAAAATCTAGTAGAATGTATAACTAAAGCAGCAATATCTCTGGATTTAATTGATTTACTTGATGCAGAGTTAACATAAACTCATATAACAAATAAATGATATGAAATGAGTGCTACACCACAAGAAAAAATTTTAGTCTTTTCAGATAACTAACACAAAAGTCAAATACAAATGAATATTATGTTTTATATAAAAACTGTCTAAAAGACTACAAACGTTTATGTTTAAAGACAAAACAATTGTATTTTTTTTAACTTAAATAGAAGGTTGGTGACATGTAACCACTCTAAAACATTTTGGCAAACAATTAACTGCTACAGACATAAAAGATTATTGAACTATAGTTCAAGAATCCCTTTGGAAAGATGGTTAAATTTTTACACTACTAAATTCTCCAAAAGTCATTATGTATATCCATCAACAATTGTTCTTCATTAATATATACAAAAAGTGTTTTCAATAAGGGAAGAATGTTTCTCAGATTTTGCATTGGAAAAAAATAAAAAAAGCAATTAATTGCTTTAAATCTGGCACCTCACCTGGATATGATCTTATTCAAACAGATCACCTAAAATGTTTTTCAGAGAAATTCTTACTTACAGTATTGGAACTCATAACTTAGTATAACATTTGGCACCAATTTCGATTTAATATTTATCTGTATAGTCATAATAACAGTAATAGTTTTATTTGTCAAAATATTTATATTCACTTATTAAAATTATTAAATTAATTTATAAATATTTAAACTTAAATTTAATATATTACCCTAATAATAGCAAAGACTTTTTAGGAAATTTAAAATTTTCAAGGCTTTGGCTGTTATCAGTTTGTTCAACTCCAATCAGAGTATATTCTTCTTGTCTCATTTCTAGTAAATACTCTTTCAAATTATGAGGTTTAACCTGAAAAATAGTAATAAAAATATAAAATGTTTTCTAACAAAATAAATAAAGAAAGAAAAAAAAAACACAATAAAAAATTATAATGTTTTACTTCTTTAATTGAAACCCATTTATTTGCAGTCACACAAAGGTTTTGAAATTGCTTATCTTCTATATACTTCAAACTCCCAAGAATGTATTCACTAACTGCAAAGACTTCACAAGTTCGGCAAAGTCCTAATTAACAAAACAATAAACCTCTTATAAAGTATTGTGAATTATTGTTAATAATTATTTCAGTAATTAACAACTAGATGAGATTACAAACATATTTTATATAATAAAGCTTCAAAAACAAAAATAAATTGAGATTCTATTCTTAAATGATCATTTACATCTGATAATATTATCTTTTACATCATTATAGATAAGCATTTATACTGGTACTAATTTTGAAAACAAATAAAATACAGGTATCCTTCAACTATAAGGGTTATATTCCTTACTCTCCTTTAAAAACTTAAGAATTGAACCTTAATCTTTCACTTTTTCAAATCCTTTATACAGTCGACCCCCCTATAATTACGGTCCCTATAATTACGATTCCTATAAAACTACGAAAAAATATACGTTTTTTGGAAATGTTGAGTCGGATTAGTGTAGAATCAATTAATTTTATGGAAGAAAACCTTTCAATCAGCCGTAGTCCGTAAACTTGACACGTGTCGGGCTGTGATTTAAACGACTTGTAAGAAATCGGATTCCTAATAAATTGGAACGTATCTATATCTTATAGGGGGGTTGACTGTAGTGCACAATCTTCATTTAAAGTTCAAAAGATGTCTTGTGACTGGATCAATATTTATAAACACCATCAATATGGTCAAACGCCATTATTTTTATTTACTATTACTAATTTCCAGCATTTAATTACAATATTACAGGTACATGCACATGAAGTGCCCACCACAATAAGTACATTCAGTAATTCTTTATATTTGAAATGTCAGATGCCAGAGAAACATGGTTTGCTAAATTAAGAATCAGATTCAGTGGTACTAGGAGTGAGTTAACCTAATAACTGTTTGCCATCCATGAAAATACAAATCCACATATATCAATCCTGCATAAAATAAAATACTACAGTACAATAATTTTTTAATTGTTCAAAAAAAATTGTAATTTTTCTTTTTATTTAAAATGCAGTATAATTTCTTGATAACCAAAATATTAAATAATGGAAATTGTTAACTGAAAAAAATTAATTTGTTTAGAGATCTGAATTAAATAATATTTTTCATAAGATTTTCATTAACTCAATTCTTGATAGAAATCAAGTTATTTCAAAACCACCATGTTTAGGAAGAATCAAAGTTGAAAGGGATTTCTATACATTTATAGAATTATTAAAAGTCAATGTGTGCACACACTAAACTATAAGGTTACAAAATATTACAGTTAAATACATCATCATTAGTGTGCGGGATTCTAAATGAAATATATCTATTGTAGAGAGTTGATAGGATTATGATCAACTTTCATAAATGGCAAAATTTTGCTAATTATAAAATTATTCATCAATTCTATAGTCAACAAATTCCATTCCTCAACAAGGGTAGAATTTACTTCATGAAAGATTCGTGGAGGAAACAGATGAGTTGTAATGTATTTTTCTAAAGGCTGGTTTATATGATATGACTACTACTGACATTTTGTCATACCAAAAATACCTGGACAAGATTTGTTACAAGTTTCTATAATGCATTAGAATACAACTTGCAAGTTGTTCTAAGCATGTGCAAGAGCATTTATTTTTCTTAATTGGTGAGAACATGATCTAACACACAATTTCTACTTGTCATTGATTGATTGGTTTGATGATGTGACACCAAGCAAAAAAAATTAATCTGCCAGATTTTTTTGCGATACCAAAGCAACTTGTCAAATCAAAATTTCCAAGTTGTAAGTTTGTTCAAAATAGGCACATTGTATATTGTGGTTTCAAGCAACATGTCAGCTGTAGTCAAATCATGTAAACCATCTTAAGACCTCTCAGACATCCTCTGTTTGGTTCAGATCCAGAGATATGATTATCAAAACCATCCTCTTTCTCAAGGAAATCATTGCTAAGTTGATTTATTTTGATGAACAGAATCTATCAACATTACAACCACTGAAAATAAAAATTTAACTCTAGGTTTGAAATAAAACTGTACTTTGCCAATGTTCCCCAGTCTCTTCACATTTGCTAAAATATACAAGCCAGGGAGGCAGTTATGTCCAGTTATGGACAAATGCAGGTTGCCAATATTCCTCTTCAAAACAACATTGCACAAGTTCATTAGTGAAAATATTCAACCTTACCAATTCAGTGTATCAGACCCAGTAACACTAGATGAACATTTGCATATATCATTAATGGACAAGAAGCACAACATTGTCACAATGTTGATTTACATTGTTGGATTTCAAGATACTGTACTTGTCCAGAAAGTTACAACCCTGTTTTGCCATTTGAGAAATTTTCTTTTAAAAAGTTAATTCAAGCACATCAAAGAGTTTGCACTCTTTGATGTGCAAACTCTTTGATGTGCTTGAATTAACTTTTTAAAATAAAAATTTAATAAATTTGAAACTTTTTGAATTTCTCATAAAAATTAAGAAGAAAAAAAAAATACAAATTAAGATAAATTACGGTTAATAATATAATACAAAGAATTTACTAAAGTAACATGCTTCTTATTGTTATATGCAAACCATTATATAAATAACTTTCTTCATACATTAATCTGACATGCAGACAGAATCTGAGAGCATGCAACAAGAAATAATCATTTATATTTTCTCTCTATACCTTAATCCTGTTTTTTTTTATTTTTTTTTTTATCTATGGGGTATAGGCCATTTAAAATATTTGTAAGCATATCTTCAATAGATTAATTGCAATAATTTAATGAGGAATATTTTTAGACATAAAAGTAAAAGAAAAATAAGGAAATTTTATCAATTATATATTATCCATCATATTTTATTAAGGCAAAATGGATATTGTACATTTATTCAAGAAATTTCTTAATTTTTGTATTATTTTACTTATTAACACCAAACAGCTACTTTTATTGTTAATAGAGAGGTTGCGGCTGACATTTTCAACGCGACGTGTACGTCAGACATTCAGCGCTGCTTTCCTAAAGGCCTAGAAGTTTGGCAATGGTGTTTGGGACATCGAGTATGATTCCACTAACTATCCAAACACCATTGCCAAACTTCTATGCTTATAGGAAAGCAGCGCTGAATGTCCGACGTACACGTTTTTGCGTTGAAAACATCGGCCGCGACCTCTCTAATATATCATTGTTAAATACACATTAACATAAGAACATTTCATTTTAAATGGGAATATCAAATCTTTAGAAATTGACAGCTGGATGACTTAGCTGTTAATGTTCCAGCCTATTGCTCTGGGAACCCTGGAATGAATCAGAATGGACTGAAAAACCCCAGGAATTTTTTGGAGGTAGTCTGTCCCAGACATATCAAGCCCAATCTCTCAGCAGCTGGTTGCCCCATTGTAGTGTAAGGAACCAAGTCCGAGCGTTATTTTTATTTAATTTTTATTTTGGGCTTATGTTTTGTTAGAACAAAGGTTTCCTCACCAATCACCTTAGAAACTTAAAAATAGAAGATAAACCAACTCACTGACGAGAGAAAAGTGCCGTAGAAAAAACTTGTGCGCACTTGTGCTCCCAAGCGGAAAAATTAAGTCCGCACCAAGAAAAGGAGGGAGACCCCACAAGCACGACTTAAGAAACTTGCTAAACCTTAAGAACAAACATCCCGAAAATTGTTAAAAAGAATAATGTAAAAGGTTAGCGAGTATTGTCGGAAAATAGGCTGCCAGATAAACAAGAAAAGTTTATTGTTAGCAATAAGTATGTAAATGAGGGGAGTGATCTCATTCAGAATTGTGACGTCACCTCACAGTATAAAGACTGTAACTCAAGTAAGCTTCTGTTAGCAACAAGCTTGGTGAGCTTCGTAGCAGCAAACAAGAGAGATGTCCGATAGGAAAAAATAGTTCCAAGACGATTTTGAAGTTATTCGATTTGTGTTATTTGTATTCTCGAAGATTAGAGAAAGTCTTGAGAGTTGAGGAAAAAGGTTTCTAGTATATTGAGGTGACGATTAAGATCTTTAATTCATAAGAATTATTGTACATAAGTTAAGTCTTTGAACTTTTGTCAAATTCCAAAGGGGAATAGAATTAAGTTAGAAAATAGATTGAATTGAGTTTTGTCGGGTTGATACTTATTGATTTTCGTTGAATAAATTATTGTTTGATTGTTACTAAATCTTGTATATAGTTATTACTAGAATTTGATTGTTTTTTGACCTAACTTTGTCATTATTTAATTCTGTGCACTCTTAAAGTCCAGGCCTGGCACATTAACGCGAATCCGCGTAAAGTACCCATTAGGTAACGGCTATTTCTGGCACCTTAATAAAAAAAAAAAAAGCCATCTGAGTGCTCACAGATAGAAAAAGTAAAAAAAAATTATTTAAGAATATAAAGATTAGTTGTAATATAGTATAACCATTATGATTATTTATAGGATATATATAAGGTTACTATAACAGTTGAAGACAAAATACAGGCAGATTAGCATTAAAAGTATTCATAGAGCAAGGCAAAATAAAAGGAATTTATTCATATTTTTCAATCTAGTAAATGTAGGCATATAATATAAAGTTTCAATTTACTCTTTCCTTTGGGGCACAGAATGCAATTTTTAATATAAGAAAACTATTTTACCACTTAGACACCAAGTACTGTTGAATTAAAAAAACCATTATGAATGTGCACATGTTCTCTAAGCAATAGAACTGTTAAATTTGCTTATACAATGTTGCCATGTAGTCAACAAATGCAATAATAATCATAAAAAATTTAGCACCTTTTTGTCAGATTTACATCTAAGTGGTTATGATTTAACTATTAACTGCAATGAAAAGTACAGACATTTTGTTTATTTTTTCTAAGTATGGTATAGACATGGACAGAGCTTTTAAAGTATGGACTGTCTGTACTAAATACACATGTATGGTAACTCTAATTTATGATTATTTACAATATTATTTATAACATAACCATTGTTAGAAATATCAAGATTAACTGAAATATAATATAACCATTATGGATGTTATTATATTTAATTGAAATATAGTTAATTCAATTAATTAGTTTGATTTTTTAAAATTAATTTTGTATAGTATAAATTAATCATAAATTTAAAATCACTTCTATTTATTTAAACAAAATACCATTTTATAATTTCAAAATTTCTGTACTATGGCAAAATCACTACTTCCTTGTTATATTCTGATACATGAAACAAGAAATTCAGTATTGTAAATATCTCTTATAAAAACATTAGCAATCACAATGATAAACATTATTCAAACTACATGCAAAAAGCAAGAAAATACAGTCGACCCCCCTATAATTACGGTCCCTATAATTACGATTCCTGTAAAGCTACGAAAAAATTGCTACCGGTATCCGTAAAAAATAGTAAAAGTTCCCTATAAACACCTCAAACGTCATCGGGCAGCCGAACTACTTTCCCGCCGTCCGTAGCGCCACGCTACGGAGAGATTTCTATCGTCTGGACAGTATTATATAAATTATATATAAATTAGGTACTGTACATATAATTATATATTAATTATATATAAATTAGGTACTGTATATATAATTATATATTAACTTATTGTAACTTTGTTATAATTAAATATATAATTTCCGCCGTCTAGCGTGGCGCCACGCTACGGAGATTTTTACGCTAACTATCGTCTGTCAGTATGTAAATTAGGTACCGTAAGTCTAATACAGTACTGTAATTTTATACATTTCTTGTGAAAGAAACATTTCTTATTCAACGGCGATTAAAATTATTTATATTAATGATGTCTCCGAAGTTCTACGAAGTTTTCACAGAAAAATAAGTTGTTAGAAATCGGCCGCTCTTTGCTGAGCTGTTCCGCGACGAAAACAATGTTGAGCAATGGCAATGTCGAATGGTGACACTCGGTAAGTAATCCTACAATTTTTTGTTTATAGCGTAGTTTATACGGATTATTCCCAAAAAATATATACGTATTTTGGAAATGTTGAGTCGGATTAGTCTAGAATCGATTAATTTTATGGAAGAAAATCTTTCAAACAGCCGTAGTCCGTAAACTTGACACGTGTCGGGTTGTTATTGGAAGGATTCGTAAGAAATCGGATTCCTAGAGAATGGAACGTATCTCTATCTTATAGGGGGGTCGACCGTAAAAAATATCACATTACCATTCTTTATGAAATGTAAAAGTGTACAATAAATTATATTTTTTAATAGCTCTTATCACTTTTTTAAGTCAAAATGTTTGCCATCTTTATATTAGTCACTCCAAACTTAAAATTTTTAAACAGAAAAAAAAATTACCTCCTAAATTTGGTGTTTTATCAATAAGAGAAGCAACAATAATTAATCCATCATTATTCCATTGCTTCCTTGTTTGTATTTCTTGAATTGTCTCAGAATCTGGTATAATCTGTTTCCATGGTGTTATTTTCTTCTGAAAATTAGTTACATTATTAATCTCATCTGATTCTGCTTGATTTTCATTGGCTAGACAATCTAAAAGAAATAATTAACTGAACTTCATGATAATTATATTTTAAATTATCATAAATATTTTAAAATGTATCAGTTGTATAATTACTGCAATAAATTTTAGAAAATTATTACCTGATGTTCTTAGAACCCATTCACTAATTTTAAAATCTTTTAAATCAGAATTTGCATTGTAACAATTTATTGCTTTTAGCTCATCATTAGGAGTAAATTTTTCCAGACGATGATCAAAATGATGCGGTGGGATCCATTCTTCATCACTCAAACTTGATAAACGAGGTAGATCATAAAATATAGTCTAAAAAGTTTTAAATAGTTTACATTAGTTTATTTTTACATTAATTATTAAATTATAGAATAAATCATTTAAATAATTAAATGTCTCAGATAATTTCTCTAAAATTAATATAAAACTTTCTAAGTAGATGTGAGTTGTCATCTATGTTTTATTCCTTAAAATCTTAAGTTGTAAAATAGGTTTTAAATAAATTTGGTATTTTGCTAAAGTCTGTTTTTGGAAGTGAAGACATAAGAATTGTAACTATTAATACATTGGTTCACCCTCTTTTTGATACAGCAGTGTTAAGAATGGTATAAAATTATTTGAATTTTTCTAAATTAGTAATTATATAGTATAAATATATTAAAGAATACAAAAAAATTTTGTCTTCACAGTAACCGTTGACAAACCAAAAAAAAACACAAATCTTCAAATTACATTCTTCAATATATTATTTACTATGTAAATTACCATTGGCCATTTTTGATACTAATTATATGCTTTCAAATTTGTCTTTTGAGGTCGAGAGATCTTTTATGCAATTTAAATTAAACGAATATTTTATTTGATTTCAAAGAACTTTTAGTAATTTTAAAAATATTTGTTCTAATTGTAGTATGGAATTAACTGAATTTTATATATTCTATTTTTGTATATTGGGAAGTGATTTTAGATGATCATATAAGTTAATTATGATAGAAAAACTTCAGAGTTTGAATTTTATGTAATTTTTTCATAAAGCAGATTTAAATTGTTACATCAACTTTATGAAAAAATTTACATACATAAAATTTTACACTGTATACAGTAATTATTTTTCTAAATATATGAAGTTGCTAGTATAAAAACATATGGGAATAAATTTTATTTCCCAATTTTCTGCTCTTTATGTGTTTTAATTTTGGTAATGTTTATATGATCTGTGATATGTATAGTGGGAAGTGATTTCCCCATAACACTGTTGATAATTCCATTTTATATGAATTCCATGTTGTACGAGTCACTTAGATTTTACAAATACGTGTGCTGGGCTGTGAACAGCTCATGTATTTGTAAAATCTAAGTGACTCGTACAATATGGAATTCATATAAAACAGAATTATCAACAGTGTTATAGGAGAGTTGACTGTATATTACTAATTCTGTGCAAGGATTAATGTAATGCTAATTTACTATTCCTTTATGTAACATATAAACCCTTTGTAATAGATATCTGTCCTATTATAATAAAAATGAATGATTGATTGATTGCTTGACATAATAAATTTGATTCTTAAAATGATTTCTGAAATTTCTGAATATTAATGACAATTTTTTTTATTTTAGCAAATAAAAAAAACAAATGATTTTTTTAGCAAAAAAAACAAATGAAAATTATTTTAGCAAATAAAAAAAACAATGATGATAAAATCAAATGCAAAAACCTTCAAAATAATTTATTTGACAATAATATAATAATCAATTAGATGTTATAAATATAAAAATTAAAACATATGAATTTTACCTCCATTGTATAATGCTCTATTGGATTAAATACTTGAAAATAAAAATCAGTTAGTAATTTTTGGGAATTTTTACTGACATTTCTGTAAAAATAATAATTAATTGATTACAATTACGTATCATTAATCAATAATTGACCAAATTATTTACATTTATATATTAAATACATGAATCATACCCATTGTCAATCATTCTTATTCCATCAAAAACTGGTTTATAATTTTTTAAAATATTTTCAAATTTATTAGCTTGACAAACTTTCATAAACTTTTGTACAGCTAATTGAGCATAAATCCTAGTATTGAAGTTTTGTCCCATAGTCCATGGGATTATTTCTCGAATCCAAGTTTGTATAAATTCTTGTAAATTTTGTTCAGAAGTAACACTGATGAGATGAATAAGAATTGAAATGAAAGATACTATACTTCCAATACGTTTTTCTATAGCCTATTAATTAAAACAATTTATTAAATAAATATAAAATTATATATCTAAAAAAATTTAATTAGGTTGTTTTAAAACATATCTCTAAACATACATTCTATTCAGTGACATAGCGTAGTGGAGGCGGCACTTTTTAGGGGCGGCAAAATTACTTTTTAGGGGGTGGCAAAACTTCACAATAAATAATATCTTGTAAAAATTTGAACCATTTCATTTCATATTTTCATTGCACCTACGATTCAGACCGATTGAAATGAGCACGAAATAGTGTTACCATCCAGACAGTCCGGGAATCAAATCACCATCCGGATGAACTATTAATTTTATTCAGAGATATCATGCGCAACCTTTCGACCTTTTTTTGTACGATTCATTCATGTTCATGTACACCTCCAATATCCAATAGAGCTAAGTCATCTACGTTACTTACATTACTCCTACCCAAGTCTCCCTAGTCGCTAGCTGTAACTGATTTAGAACCGGCATGCACTGCACATTATTCTTTGCATTGCAAAATGACATTGCGCATGCGTCAGGAACTTCTGTCCGAACAAACCTCACCTACTGTCCAAGTCAGCAGTTTTAAAAAGGTGGCAACACTAGCATGGAATTTTTATTACTTATTCTGTGATGAAACTGAATTTTAGTCTTTTAAATTGAGATACCTAAATAAGGAGACTGCAAAAGTTTCCTTTGCCCTGGGCAGCTGACACCCATGCTATGCCACTGATTCTATTGATAATCATTCTTTTAAAATTAATTTTTAATAATTTAGTATTTTATTTTATTTGATATTAGTAACAAATAGTACACAATGTTTTATAAGACAATTAGATAATAATTTAGCAGGTTTCCTTTTTTATAGTTTTCCCTATGAAAATAAAACAAGAATCAGAATAAAGTGTGGCAAATTAGTCAGCAGTAAGTTAACACACTACCATTTAAAAGTATTCTTAAACATACAATAACTTGGAAATCTTTTTAAATTCTCACTAATGGCATTCCAAATGCCTTTCTATAAGGCAAACAATGTTTATCTATAGTTAAATAACAATTAGGAATTAATAAATTATAAGTATACTCATGAATACTCATTCAAGAGTTCAGAAAATCAACTATTTTCTGGAATTCTGAAATAGAGATTCCAGAAGTTTTCAATTCTAGAGAAAATTTATATGAAATATATATTCCTTTCTAGAATTTACAATTTAAATACTAACAAAAATTATTTTGAAAAAGTTTTCTGTTGTAGTATATTTTAATGTTATTTCAGTTGGTAGTAAGCAGCTAAGCAAGCAAGCCAATGACAGTTTGTTGCATATGATGTGAACTATATTGTTGTATTGCTTACTTAGTTGCTTGCTACATAGAGGTGCCCTACATTTCTGCTTTCAGAATTATCATCATAACAGTGAAGATGAAGAATTTTCATATACATTAAACTATGACAGTGGGAATTTATAGGTCTACAATTTTTTCAAATTGCAGCACAATCAGAGGACAATTCATTTGTATGTTCACTAATCATAGTAATAGACTTATTTATACAAAGATGATATTTTAACTAATTAATTAATTATGGTATTTTATTTATACAGATTGAAGGACACACACAGATGGTCACTTACATTCAAAAGAATATCATTTTGAAAAATATTACAATCATCATGTAGAACAGATTTTTTTATTATTAATATTTATTTATTAAATATTAATAATAAAAATATCTGTTGTTATTAATTCATTTTAATTTTATTGTAAAACAAAAATTAGAATGACAATTTTAAAATAAATAGCTCTGCAGGTTTTTTTTTCACTTTTTGTGCACTAATGGTGTCAATAAGATATTATATTATTATAAAAAGTGTTTATTATCCATTACTCAGGCTGACTCATGTCTACTCTCACTGCTTGGACTATAGTATTTGCTGTTGTAAGTTCAGATGATTCCAAAGTTAAGGACCAATTTATTTTTAAATTTCATTAAATTTAATGAACCTGAATGTAAATACATGTTTATTTTATTATATAACAATATATTTACAAAAAAATAATTCAAATATTTTGAATATATCTTAAAATTTGAAAAACATATTTTTAATACATCTTAAAATTTATTAAATACCAATAATATTAAAAAATTAATTAAAAAAAATTTTTCTGATCTCAATTCTTTTTATATTTTATATGCTAAAAATATTTATTTCTTTACCAAAATATTTTTTCAATTATAATCTTACCTTATGAAAATATACAGTAAATTCTTTTTCCAGTGTTGGATAATGATAAATAATTCTGACAACTGTCCATTCCAAAAAGTATCTTACAGAAGGTTGATGATTTTCATTTACCAATAAGGAATAAATTTCTTTCAATAACTGTTTGCAATTTTCCTAATAAAACATTTAAAACTTATTTTTATAACAGTATTAATTTTTCTTAATCATTAAAATGTTTGTATAAATATATTCATGTATTAAAATTTAGCAATTTCTAAAAATATATGTTAGTTAACTCATAATTTCAGTCTACATTATTTAAGTTTATCCATTAATAATTAATATTTTGAGTAACTCTTAGTTAATTGAATGAAATAAGTTACTGAAAAGACAAAATTCTTGATGATTAGCAAATAAATTTTTTTTGTTTGTATCTATACACAAGATAAATTATGAATGGCTCATATATACAAATTTTTCTTATAAATATATATGTATATATATGAAAGTTTATAACTTTTATATATATGACTTTTTTAATCATGTAATCCAAAACAATTACGATGTGCAGATAAAGAAAACAAACAAAAGCAAACGTTTTGGAACTCCTTCCAAGTTGTAACAATTCCCTGATGATTCTTCGTAACAGCTTTTTTTTTTTGTTTTTTAGAGAAAGTTATTGCATTTCTTGCTAATTAAACTGCTGTGATATGTATAAATATCAGTTTAATTAGCAAGAAATGCAATACCTTTCTGAGTCAAAGAAAAAATTCATTTGAAAATTTAGGGCAAGCTTGTAAGCATATAGAATGAATTAAAAAATAAAAAATATAGTGTATATTAAAATGTCCAAATTTTATTAATAAAAATAATAATCCATTAAGAAATATCAACATAAGACAAAAAAGAATATATATTTGTCTAAGAGAATTTTTACTTTCCTGACTATTATATATAACAGAGGAAAAGTATGGCAATAGGTCAAAAAATGACCACCCAAGATTTTTACATTTCTGAACTTAGGACACCTTGAAATGTTGAGAAATGCAAAAAAAATTCAGGGTAATTTCTGTATGTATGGATGTTAGTGTGTGGGGGGACACAATTTTGTTTACACCCTTTGAAGCTTAACTACTCTTGTGCTTTTAGTCAAAAATTTCTGAAATTTTGCGGGGAAGTTTGTGTATTAGGAGGATTGATGCTATTAAATTTTGTTGGTTAAGGGTTGGTGGGGTAGAAGATAAAGGTGGTCATGTGTCATGTGTCATATCTCAAATACGGTCAGACTTAATGATGGTTTTACTTGTTATTAGCATTTAAAATTTTTTATAAAACTCATCCCTACCCTCAAAATTAAGCTTTTTGCCATTTTATAATAGTTAAAAATATAAAATGTTTTTAAAATAAAATATAACAACATATGGCACCACCAAAATTTTAAATGTTGCGGGGAAAGTTGAGTAACTCATTGCAGGTTTACTTTATTTAGTTTGTTTATCCATTAACAGATATTGTTTACTGTTCTTAACCTTACTTTTCATTTTTCTTAATTTTAGACTTGTTTGTTGGTTTTCTGAAACAATGCGACTATGTAAAACAAAGTACAAGCTCAAAAAATAACCAAATGTTTTGAATTGGGTAAAAATGGAGTGTCCTAGTGTTGTGAAGTTGATAACACTATGTTCGTAACAACCTACTGAGTAAGCTGCTTTTTTTCAGATTATTTTTGATATCTTGTTTTATTCCCATGTTATTGTTTTTTCAATGAAAGATGTTTCAGTGTTCATTGCAATTTTTGCAATGTGCAATTTACAGGAGCAACGATGCAACTTGAAGTTTTGCATGAAAAACTTTTATGGAAACATTTCAACTTTTGAATCAAGCTTATGGAAACAATGCTCTAGGTCGTACACAGTGTTAAGAATGGATTACCCAATTCAAAAGTGGTCGTCAATTAGTTGAAGACAATCCTCAACCAGGAAAGCCTTCCACCTCAACTGATGACATTCATGTTCAGAAAATCAGAGTTGTGCACTTTGAATTTTTGCCTCAAGGTCAAACAGTCAACTGTCAGCATTATGCAGGTGTTCTGAAACAATCGCATAAAAAAATTTGCAAATAAAGACCAGAATTGTGGCAATACAACTCATGGTTTTTTCACCATGACAACACACCTGCTCACTTAGCCTTGTCAATTCACCAGTTTTGTGCCAAAAATCAAATGGCTGTCCTCTCCAGTCTCCCTATTCACCAGACCTGGCTCCTTTCAATTTTTCTTGTTTCCAAAATTAAAATCAGTGCTGAAAGGATGCCATTAAAACAAATCCATCACAAGCATTGAAGGACAGTCCAAAACAAGATTACCAGGACTGCTTTGCAAAATGGAAACACTGCTAGGATAAGTGTGTGAATAGGAGAGGGGAGTACTTTGTACTTTGAAGGGGACAATGACCAATAATCTGTAATTTGAAAAAAAAAATTAAAAAAAATTAAGTTCAGTTATATTTTGAACAGACCTCATATTGTCTTGTAACTACAAGACTTAAAGCTAAAGTTCAGGAGTACAGTTTATTGCCAATTTTATCATTTATTATTAATATTAAAAATGAATATGTTCAATATTAAAAATATTTGAAATTCTCAACTAATTATTATTATTACTAAATCTAATTATAAAAAGTGACAATGTAACATTTTCAAATTTTTTAAACTAAATTTTAAAATTTAATATAAACAGAAACAAGTTCATATAATTATAGTTGAATATCAATACAATGCAAAGTAATAACTTTAAGTATTATGTTTATGTTTTTTTTATGCTTACCTCAGTTAAAAATGGTTCAAGTAGTATTATTATCTGCCAAATTCTTGTTTTAGTTCTATGAATTAAAGAATTTCCAAAATGACGTGCTTTAGTAGATGAAATTTGTTTATCTTGATTTAAGAGAAGTAATACAATTTCAATTGGAAATCTCTGATATTCAGTTATTGAAAGTAAAAGTCTTCTCAAAAATTTAATTGCAGTTATTCTCACCATTATATTATTTACACTAAAGTTAATTAATTAAAAACAAAAGAATATGATTAATGAGTTAAGTAACAAAATTTGAAGTTTAGAACTGTAATACAGAAATAATAATCTGACTTACGGTTGAATTAACTGATTGACAGAAACGTCATTCTTAAAACTTTCTATATATGCTATTGCATCATTTACAATCCTTTTTTAAAAAAAAATGTTAATAATTTTATTAATTTTAAATTAAGAAAATTCTAAATTAAATAATTAAATTAAATGATACTTATATTTCTATTATTTTAAAAATAATAAGAAATTAGCTTTAACTTCAAAATCCTAAATTTTAAAACTGTTGTTAGGGAATAGATATTCACAAATTTGAACTCATTTTATAAAATGCATTATAAGATCTAATAATTATATAAATTAACTTAAATATTTTCCAAGTTTACAAAAATGCATGTACATATTTGAAATTCAACATCCTCTGTGATTGAGTATAAGTTTTAATTCTAATATTTTAAACTTTGACTGTTGCACTCTGCTGAGCCAACACCACTGTGGTACCAGACTGTCAATTTTTGGAGTGATTGAGAACACTCAAGTTGTGCTAATCTCTGATGGTCAACTGTGGATTATCATCTATCAGTTACAGGAAAATGTCATATCAATGCTGAAATTGCTGGGGCTAGAGGGGGTTAATATTGAAGTGAGAAATCTCCATCCTTGAATTTGTTGAACCAATTGTAGCAGGTTTGCCTGTTGACTGTGTCCTTGTCAAATGCCTTGCAGACAAGGTAGTGAACCTTTGTTGTGTTGTGACCACTTTTGAAGTGATAAGAGTAACAGCGCATGAATGTGTTCTTTCATATGTTTCATATTGTTATACATTGTTGATGCATCTATTTCCAATGAAGTATCTGATGAAATGCTGATAACTATCACTAGTGGTAACTTTTCTAATATTTCTATCTGAGTTCTTTTCAGTTCAGTTTACTCTTCTGTCAATATAGTTATTTTCTTCCTTCTTTAATTATATTCTGTGTTCAATTTTGATTAATTTTCTCATATTCACTTTTTTTATCTATTAACTACAGTCTTTTGCAGAATAAGAATGAAGGTAATTGTTAGTCTACACAAATAACTAAAAATAGTTTTGTGTTCATTATAAAATAAAATATAATATATGTAGAACATAGAAAATTATATGTTTAAACAGTTATAATATATTTAAAATTTTTGACATTTATGAAAGAAATTTGAGATTATAAAAGAACATAAAACACATATATGTGATATTTAAATTTTCAAAGTGCTTATTCTATTCTATTCTATTTTACTGCTTGCTGCCATTATAGTTTCATTGCTTAGCTAAAGCAGTGGAATGATACAGTACATATTCAAGATATGCACATTAATTTCATTCTTATTCTGGGAAATGCTACAAATATCTAAATCAGAATTTTTTTCCTCTTCATCTTTCTAAGTAGCTGAAAAATTATCTTCTTATTTTCTTACAAAGTTAATCAACATATAATAAATATTGATTAATTTCCTGACAATCAACTCTTTCCGTCTGAATATATCTTTTCTATTAAATTATTAATGAATTTTGTTACATCTCAATTTCATTATTTGCTTAATTAAATACAAATCTCTCCAATTTCTTCCAATTCAAACTACAGTTTAACATTTTCCTAATACTCATTTGAAACATTATTATAAGAATTCAGTGAATTTCATTATATAAAACAGAAGCAAAGACCTCCTTCAAGTGAAAAATTGTAACATTTACTTTTTTGAAAATTCTTAAATCAAGAAAATGAAGCCAAAAAGAAACTAATTTGAACACTATTAATCCAAAATTCAATGAATTCAATTTTAGACATTTCAATAAAGATTTCAGACTTTTATTTAGATTCCAAATCATAAGAATATTATCTAATAGGTAAGAACAAGTGATTACTCTCAGCATTAACTTTATATTAAAAAGAAACTATAAAGTTTATTGAATCCTCATAAATAAGATACTGACATTTCAAACACAGATCCAATATTTATATATGTCTATTTGAATTAAGAAAAATCAAAGAATAAACTTAAATCAGAATTTTAAAAAAATTTAAAATTTTTTTTTAATTCTGACAATAAAATATTTTTCTTTTAAAAACATTTTAAAATTAGATTTTTTCATTTTAAAATGTTTTTCTTTTTTCATGTTTTAATAAATATGCAGTCAAATTTTATTAAAAAGAAATGAATAGCACAGAAACATTTCTGTGCTGTTCATTTCTTTTTAATAAAATTTGACTGCATATTCATTATTGAGCTTTTGTTGCTATTTCATGAGCAAACATTCATGCATTACATTAGCATTTGAAATGAGGGAGGGACAAAAGAATATCTTGTCATTACTCAAATGAGGAGGATGATCTAATTCAATAGTTATCTAAAATATTTTTAAATTTTTGAATATTTTTAAAAATTTTGCTTTATTAATTTATTTTATAACAAACATTCAAAAATACTATTGTCAATTATCTAAAAAGTAGTTAATTTTTATTCCTAATTAAATTTTGACAAACTTTTTAAATACTAAGACAGAATGATTAATTTATATCAATTATTGTATGTGTAAAATGTAATATATTATAATCATATGCATATAATATTACTGAAATTTGCAACATGATCAAACAATACAGTAGAAACTCAATTATCTAAAATTGTTAAAAAAAAAAAAAAAAAAAAAAAAACAGAATGTGTAGCTTTGTACATACCACAAAGTATAACACACACAGATAAAACTCTCCATGAAACTGAAATAATTAGTCATCTGTTAATTGTAGTGCTATGAAATTAATTGTAAGGTAATATATATTACCTTACAATTAATGTAATGTAATGTTCTAAATCTAAATAAATCTAATGTAATGTTATATATATACTATATAACATTACATCAGGTACTTCAATTACAGCTACAGGACTTTGCTGACTGATTTGGACATAGATTATGGATGGAGATTATCATTGATTGAAGTAAAACTTTTGTGCAGCTTGCATGTTTGATGTAGTGAACTCTCACTTGTTTACTATACTTCTTATTATTAATATTTGTTGTTTTAATTACTGTTTAATTATTATTTGACTTCATTAATTAATTTTGTTCTATTGTATAATATATTTATAATTTTATTAATTAATTCTGTGTTACTTGCATAATATATACTGTATATGCTTGTTCTGCATACTATGATGGCTCATTTTATTATACATGTATTAAATGTTAATTGTGGGGACAAATTGTTTGCTACATTGAATGTAAGATATATATATATACCATAATGCCTAAATACTTGTATCCTGTTAAAATATCTTATTCATTATTGATATATTTCATTAACAATTGTAGATCCAGTGACCTTTCTGTTATTGATACACTTGTCTATTCTATTCATTATATTGTTGATAAACATATTATTTAGTTATAGTATTAATTGCACATTTATTTAATCTGTATATGATATTTAATTATTACATATTATAACATGTGTTCTACATATTGAATGTATAAAATAATACAACACAAGTAATCATAATATGGAATGCACCTTCTACCATTATTGAATATGTATATTTTTTTAAAATGCTGTTATTCATTTTGAAAATGATCATACTTTATAATTGTCATCATTGTTTTTAATATAACCATTTCACATGACCTGATAAACAACATGAGAAATTACTTCTGTAAATAATATAAATATCCTCACTATTGTAATGTTGAATGTATTTATCCTTGTAAGAATTGTTTGTAAAATTATGTTGATGTACTTTACTCCCGGTAATGCTATTATGCGGGGCCGGGATGTGTGTGTTCACACCTTAATAAAATAACGATTGATTGTATATAACCAGTGGTGATATTCAGCGGGTTCAACCAGGTTCGGCCGAACCCGTTGTTAAAATTTTCAAAGTTTTTCGAACCCGTTGTTAAACACACGTAACATTTCTCAGCGGTTTTGTTTCTTTTAAAAAATATATTAAAATATACGTATTATACACTGTAACACTACTAAACTAGAGCCTTATACCCCGTTCGCCATGTTCCCCTTGTACGCCATTCGCATATAACCTCCATCGACCGTTTCAATCTCAACTGAAACGAGATTTAATCGCGATCGACTCAAGAGAGTTCATAAAACTAGGTCCAGTCATACGTGGGATCCCACAATCCCACGCGCGCGAGAAATACAAGATGGCTGCGGAACACGTGTCGGGCTATCAACAGCGAAATAAAAAAGATATTGTATTTCGAGAAACGATGAGATCTGTTTATTATTATAATAATACCTAATGACAAAATAAATGATTTAGAAAAGTTTTTTCTTGAGAAAAAGTCATAGGGAAAGTTAACTCTTTGGGACTCTAGCAATTTTTGATATTAATGTAATTAAACATAAAAAATAGTTAAAACTGAAAAAACGAAAGAAATGCGTTAATTTTGAAGAAAAAGCTTCAGATTTTATTTTCCTTTGTCTTGTCTTTCTGTGAAATCTGACGCTGATGAGTCATTGTTTAAACAGCTGGATGACCTTGAACACAGCTGGAGTCGGATTTCCCGGGACATTCTCATAGAAGTCTCGGGAGGCGATGGGTTTATAGTAGGGTGAATACTAGCTGGCCGTATATTTTTAAAAAATTAAAATTTTTATTGCGATTTCCGACCCCCCGACTTAATTAAACTTATATATAATAAAATCTATTAATTAAAAAAATTTAAAAACTATCGGAGGTCGTTTTTGACATCAGAAACTAGCTTTAAATAACTTTACCGAAGGAAAATTTGTGCACTACAACTTTAGAACGATGAATGAAATTTGATATCAAACTCCCATTAAAAAACAATTAAAAAGCAATTAAGCGTGAATCGTGCGTCATTAAAGGTAAATTAAAATCGCGATAAAATTTTTTTGCGTGGGAAAAAATTTTTGAAAAAATTTGGAGACTTAAAAAACATTTTAAAAATTAAAAAACAAGAATTCTTAGGGGGTCCAAACGGCCGAGTTTTATGTAACGCTATGTAACTTTTCCGAGATATCTCGGGAGTGGGGTTTAAAGCGTTGGAAAAATTTTCTGTTAGCGAACCCTTTGTTAAATATTTCGAATATCACCACTGTATATAACATTACATTAGATTTTACCTTCAAATACAATAATTGCATTATAGAATTTATTGTTCATGAAACTTTAAATGCACAGTGCTTGATGTACCCAAAACAGAAAAACAAATGAGTTCCTGAATTATCCAAAAAACCCCTGGTCCCATCAAATTCAGATAATTGAGTTTCCACTGTACTTATAATTGCATATGTTGCTGCTAAAGCTTGAAATCCGTTAATGTGTACATTACCTAGCTAATCTGCAGATTAACTAGGGTTATTCGTTAAAGCTCAGAAAATTATTCCATTTCTCAAATTACCTAGGTAATCTGCAGATTATCTAGGTAATCTGCGAATTACCTACTAGGCACTCGGTAAAGTGAAAATAAGATGTTTGCTGGAACAACAGCAATGTTTCTTTCTGTATGCTTAAATTAACATAACATTATTTATTTAATTTTCAATATCTAAAGAATCAAGTTAATACAATCAACAAATTAGTTGATTGAATCAATCATCAATCAATTAAAAAAACTTGAATACAAAAATCAAACGTTTAAAATATTATTACTATTAGGGAAATGAATTTGCAAAACATATGATAAAATTGTACTTACTTATTAGTGCAATCTAAAGATTGGTGACACTTTGAATTACGTAGCAATTGGTTTTTGCGACAAGCACGCCTATTTGTGGTACATTTAGATTTGCAGTCACATTTTCTGAAACCCTGCCCAGTACCAAGGGATTGTTTTATTGCTGTTTGACGTAAAGATATTTCTACAGCAGGGACATCCATCTTCTTTCGTTAAAAATCTCTCTTTGCAAACACTGAATTCAGATTTTGCATACAATTGTTTTAAAATACCTGTTTTAGTATCAAGTTTATAAAAGCCATCCTCTGTTTTACTAAGAACCACAGCTAAAATTGAACGTGCATCAGTTTTTGCTCTGTCTTCTTCGGGTACTTTAATTCTCACAGCGAAACCTTCATCGACGTTTGGGTGCTTTGCATTAGAAACTGCTAACATTTTCTTTGCTTGCTTTTCTAAACATTTCTTGGCTTCATCACGCTGTATTTTCTGATCCATATTCTTTTTACAGATGATGCACAATACATTCTTACCATACCCTTCCTCTTTAGGATCTACTTCACCACAAACTGCGTGAACAAACATATTACACGATTTACACTTGTGAGCACTTGATGCTGCTTTTGAGCAAACAATACAGACTATGTCTTGTATAGTGCTCTTTACAGGCTCCGTACGAAACTGTGATGGCGATTCTGCTGAAGTTGAGAGTAACTCAGTGATGACTTCTTCAACTTGCAGAGGCGATTCCTTGGAGGTGCAGGGTAACTGAATATTCTTCGTGACTGCATCATCAATCAACGGTATAGAAGGCAGTTTAAGATTACTATCGGTAAATTCTTGTATTTCTATAGGTGATTCTGTAGAAGCGGGGGATAACGGAATGTCCTCTTGAGTAAGATTTGACTGTGATCTCATAATCACAGTCTCTTGTGAATCTTCTAATTTTTCAAGGTCTTCTTCAGTTTTTATCGAATGTCAAACAATTCTCCGGCATGGACAAACTTTTTCAAACCTTTCTCGCGCATCTGACAACGGCTCAATGAGTTTTTCACAGCCTCGTACAGTCAACACATCACACCTTTGAATTATTTGATAATCTCGAGATGATTCTTTCTTCTTGGAAACTTTTATTTGCTTTACATCTTCAATTATGGAATCATACTTTGGTTTGTTATTAAAACACTACGTATTATATTTTAAATCTTCGCTAAAGAGGTTTGCGAAGAATCTTTTCTTGATTTTACTCACCAATTCGGTGCTTGCTTGCATTCTAGGATTTAAATTTATCTACGTAAAAAGAAGGAGTGGGGAAAGGAAGTGAAAGAAACAAACTTTTGAACTTTAACGATACGGAAGCCGTTAATGTGCAGATTACCTAGATACTCTGCAAATTACCTAGGTAATTTGAGAAATTGAACAATTTTCGCAGCTTTAACGGATCACCCTAGTTAATCTGCAGATTAGCTAGGTAATGTACACATTAACGGATTTCGAGCTTTAGCGGTAACACATACATTAAATAAAAAAATAGTCAATAATGATGCAAATTATAATTACATAATATTTGAATGCCCTTAAATTCAAATATTTAAAAATATTTTACCTTTGATCTTTTCTATGAATTGGTCCATAAGTAAGTGCTGCACACAATATTTCCAGATTATTAGTTAAACAGGAAGGATTATCTGACCATATTTTTGTACAATGTTCAATTAAATAAAAAATGATGAAAGAACTCGTTTCTCCAGATTCAATTAATAACTTTTTATTCTAAAATGAAAAATAATATTGTTAAATTTCTCATCTATTTGCTTTTATATAAAATTATCAACATCAATATAATATTAGGTACAAATTTATGACTTCATTTTAAAAATTGTAACATATAATTTAATTATAAAAAATTATAAAACATTTTCCACATTTAAAATTATACATCATTCAAAATATTATCTGAAATAATTTTTATATTATTAGAGATATCACTGTAAATCACTATATTAAATTAGTATAACAACTCTCACAAATAATATTCCATCAATTTAATATTGATGAAAATTATGAAATAAAATATTGTTATTATTTTAATATTAAAGTTTCTTTAATTACATAATATTTCGGAAGTTTTACAACACTGTTTGTACTGAAAATGAAGATTACTTTCAAAGTTTTCTACAATACTAAATCCTAGTCTGGCAAACAGACTAATTACTAGGACATTGCACAACTTTGTCTTATTGCAATAGAATTGAGACAGAGCCAGAGAGAAAGAAAAAAGCAATCCTTGCACTTGTTAGATACAGAAGTGATCCTTGTAACTGACGTTTGCAGACAGGTGAACTTTGCACTTGCCGCCAGAAAAGAGACTATCCTCATACCTACTGACATGAAGAAACAATCCAAGAAGCAATCAATGGAGATTGCTTTGTTCTTGTGTTTCACTTGTTTTTTTGCAGCTATTTTCAATTAGGCACAAGCAATGCATTTTTTAATTGTTTTTGACCTCTACGTCTAAATTTCATTAGGTGTGCTCAGTCACATCAGAAAGCATGGACATTGTCAGTTTAACCCCTCTGTATATCGAAAATGAAGTCATGGACCCTCATTACATTTTTTGGATTCCTCATTATAATTAATGGAAAATGGCAAAATTTTATCAAAATTGGCCAATTAAATTTTGAGAGTGAACTTGATTCTATACATCCACAGAAAACTTGCTAGCAGCTGCATAACATAGCCTGAAAAAGTCATGTGATTCATGTGATATTGCTTTGTTGTGTGCACTGGTGCTAAGACCTTATATCTCGAAAACAAAGTCATAGACATCCATTTTTTATTACACTTTTGGGTTCCTCATCAAAATTAATGGAAAATGGCAAAGCTTAATCAAAATCGATCAAACAAATTTTGAGAACAAACACAATTCTGTAAGCCACATAAAACAGGCTTTGCTAACGCTCTGCCTCAATTAATTCAACTGTACAAAAACGAAAAATATAATATAATTTTACCATTAATTAATTAAATTTTACTAGTAACATTTAATAAATTGATCATTAGTCATTAAAAACATAAAAATTATATACATATAATATACATCTCAAAGCCCAATGAGTTAATATAGTAATCCCAACGATTGCCTAAATAATCAAATAATTAATACAAATAAATTTGGTACTAGAAGTAAGCGTTAGGCTCCATCTCTTATCTAAATTAATAATTATAATTTTAATAATTTAATAAATAATTTAGAACCTTCTGGAAGAAAATAACTGACCCAGGGTGAGGCTTGAACCTGCAGCCTCTGCTTGCTGTGCAGTGTGCTACCAATTGCACCATCCAGACCCCAAGCCAGTCTGGGTCTGGGTGGCACAATATTTAGGCAATCGTTGGGATTATTATATAAAAATTAATAATTAAACTATTCATTTGATGAATGAATTTTCATAGATGTATGTAACATGACAAAAAAATTTATGTTAAATAATTTATTACAGAATTATTTGTAAAAGTGTATCTTTAAAAATAATAATATGTATCAAAATCTGATAATTGTAATCATGGATATTGTGATAATTCATTTAATATCAGAATCAACATGTTCCAAAACATACAAGTTAAAATGTACTTATACACACTTACTGTAATCAAAGTCCAGTTGTGTCAAAACTATCACCTTTTTAATGTTTTTGACCTACTCCAAGGTCTTCAGAAAATTTGAATTCTGGAATGCTCATTTAATGTTCATTTCAAATCAAAATAAACTTTAATTTTTGCTGTCATGCACATTACAGAATGCCTTGATATGCAGTTTATAAGGTAATATCAAAGCATGCTTGCCATACTTTCAAGATCATTCTTTCATCCTTATTATTAACACAGTTCCCTTATCTGGTTGCCTTAAAAACATCTGTATGTGGAGAATATTTCAGAGAGATGGAGGCTCTTGACATTTTCAAGGCAACCAGGGAAGGAAACTGTATTAATAACAAAGAAGTAAAAATAATCTTGAAAGCATGGCAAGCATGCTTTGATACTACCTCATAAATTGCATATCAAGCAAGACATTCCATAATGTGTGTGACAGCAAAAATTAAAAATTTATTTAATTTGAAATGAACATAAAAACAAGCATTCCAGTATTCCAATTTCCTGAAGATCATCTGAGTAGGTCAAAAATGTTAGAAAGGTAATAGCTTTGACATAACTGGACTGTTTTGGCAGGTTAGTGAGAATTTGTGGCTGCAAAAATTAATTAATAATAATAATAATTACAATTAATAAATCTTCATTTTATACATTTTTTAAATATTTTAATATATGCTTTTGATGTCAGAGTCAATAAAATAAGAACATATATTAATTGTAGCCTTATCAGTCAGTTATCATCATCAGTAGAGTTGGCAACTAAAATTTTCAAATTTCACTAGACCAGAGCCTAAAAATTACTATGTATACATAACAAAAAGTTGAAACAGATGCTAGTAATATTAAAATGCGCCAATAATAAGAATCAGTATCTCCACATCAACTGATAATCAAAATATGAATAATTAGCTAAGTTGTTTTTTATTAAACATTATAGTTATACATTTGTGATCTCACTTAAACTATAAAAGTTATTTTTAATAAAAAAATGAAAGTTTATTATTCATAATTCACAAATCTCTTTACTTAATAAAAACAAGTTTTTCAACATTTTTATGGTTTCAAATATCTTCTTATTAAATTAAGTTGACAATAATTAATTTCAATATGAAATTATATATATAACTTACCAATATAAAATTAATCATTATCAACTGTATTATCAAAGTATATATATATATGCCTATTATAAGTTTTCAATAAAACTCATCCTATCATTGTGGACTGTATACACTATAAAAATTACTTCCAAATGTCATTCATATAAAGGTTTATAATAAATGTATTTAAATTATAAAATGTGATATTTAAAATTAACTTTACCACATCTAACATTTTAAACGAAGGAAGAATCATTGTAATAGGAGAATATGTCATGTATATAAAGGCTTCTATTGCTTGTTTGAACAGTTCATTTTTTTTCAATTCTAGACATATTTTCCAGCTTTCTTCAACAACCGCAGTAAATAATTCTTCATTTATGCACATCTATAAATATATATATTATAATACATTATTATTTTATTATAAAATTAAATTAATCATTGAATGAATCATAAAATCTACATTCTTAACTTATTTTTTACCCTTGGCAATACATGATGTAAACATTTAAATAAGAAAACAATTGCTTTAGAAGATCCTGTTTCTAAGAAATGCATGGAATTTTTTTCTAAATAATCAATAATAATTTCGTCTTTTTCATTTCTTAAATAATATTCAATACATTGCCAAATAGCACATTCTGCATTTGAAGTAAGCTCTCTCCAAAATGCTTGAGATATTCTGTCACTAAAAATTTGTTAAAAAAAGAAAATTAGATAAATATTTCTATGGAATATTTCTCAGTACAATTTTCAAGATAAAAACAGGTTTAATTTTAAAATTATAAAAAAAATTCTTTAAATTCTTATAAATAATTATGTATGATAAATAAAAAATGTAATTAATATTTAAATATTGCCATAATTACACAAACATTTTTTTTTTAATTTTGATATAATGTTTTTAATAAATTATTTAATAAGTGGAAATCATAATAGTTAATGTTGTCAAATAGTCATATTTAAAAAGTATTTACATAATATTTAATATTAGAAATAATTCCAAAATTATTTTACATTGTCAATTTAAAAATAAGGATAGCATCTTACAAGGAGACCCTACAACTTTGGGGAAACGGATTTTGATGATCTTTGGCGTGGAGGTAGTACGCCAGGTGAGTGTACTACCTGTAAAATACTAAAGTGCAACACTCGTATATAATCGAGAAAAATGAACTTAAAGTTTTCTTTAGCACTTTATATATAAATTATGTGTACTTCTGCTTACATGCAAAATTAAAATTATACCACCAAAATGTACTCCATTAGTTCAACCATGTGATGTCTATTTTTATAGTCAAACAAAAAATTTCATTAAACAATTACAAAATAGCACTTAACTACTGGACAAAAATTATGAAATTCATTCTCGAGAGGATTGCCTGAAAATATACATTCAATTAGCCATCAATTATCAACACCAATATTTTGTGACATGATAAAATATGCTTGGTATGCCAGTGGACTCTGTGATATAAGAAAGTTTTTTACAAATGTAAATGAAGCTTGTTTCTCATCAGACCGTTTACAAATACCTTGCAATCGTAAAAAAGCAGCATTAATTTGTTGTTCTAGGTGCAGACAGAATTTTTGTTTTGAATGTTTTTACCATAAGTATCATTCAGAATCATGTACATCTGGCAATGATATGTAATTATATAATATTGCTTCAATAAATTAAGTTTGTTTTTCTCGATTATATTTGAGTGTTGCACTTTAGTATTTTACAGGTAGTACACTCACATGGTGTACTACCTCTACACCAAAGATCATCAAAATCTGTTTCCCCAAAGCCGTAGGGTCTCCTTGTTAGTACAATTTTTTTATATCTAAATTTTTGGCTAGATGTTGCAATTTATGTTATATATTTCTGTTTTCCTGAATATTTTGATAAACAATCTGTTCATATAACTGTAGCCAGAGGAGTCTAAGAATATATCCAAGAGACCTCTAAAATATTAGTCCTCTGGAAATTTTGGAATATTTTTTATTATAAAAGTTAATATATTTTATCAATAAAAGTAAAAACAACTATCAATTAAAAATATACTGTTCCTGTATAATCAAGTCACCTATAATTTCAATCTGTCAATAAAATTTTAATCAGTAAAGAGATTTTTGCATTTTTACTAAATGAAAATAAGATAAATTATTAATTAACAATTGTATTTGCTTTATCATTTAATGATAAAATATGAAATTACTATTAAATCTTACACAATAATTTTTACAATATAATAATATAAAATCTTCATAAATAATGACAGTGAATTAAGTTATACTTATTATATGGAATCAGATTATTTATATCTGTTAACGATATGTTAACAAGAATCATTCTTCTGGATCTAAAGTATCTAAAACTTTATCCATTGTACTGTACTAATATTATCCATATTCTTAATACAAATACAAAAAATATACCCATTCAAAACTTTTGTAATAAGTTTCGGATATTAAAATCTATGTAATATTCAAAACAAACTATACTTTCTTTTCTATAAAATTTAAATTAATTTTATTTAAAAAATAGCTGTTACATTTAAAAATACTTTTATATTTGTTTTAATATAATTAAAATATATTTTTGTATATTAAGAGCATCATTTTAGTAATTATGTATCAAATATTATCTTAATTTTTATATTATTTGAAAAATAAATAAAACTTACTTTGGTATATTTGGCTTACTAAATGGATTTCTTAAACAATTCATATTAATGTAAGATTTTATCATGTTTAATATTTCTTTTTTGATATGATTTTTATGCATTTCTGCAAAAACGGATGATTTGCAAACACATACCAGATAATTCCAACAAACAAAATTAACTGTATCAGTGGATTTCTGAAAATAAATATTGTGAAAAAAATGCTCTTAAAATTTTTTTTTTTATATTTTTCACCTGTTTACTAAATAAACTAATATAAATTATAGATCTACAGTACAAGTATATAACTGTAACAAATGATAATTTAATTTTGCAAATAATAATTTTTATTACAAAATTACATTATTTATTCATCATTCAGCCCATAATTAAATGAATGAGATTGTCAATGACTAAAATAAAAATTAATTTTAAAGAAAAGAATTAAAAAACAAAAAAAATTAACCTGCTCTTCTAAGATTCTTTGTATGCATTGTTGTACGTATGATTGAATTGTTGGCCAGATACTAATAAAATTTCTTTCTTCTACAATCATCTCAAATATTGCAATATAAGTTCTTAATATTTCAATATTTTGAAACTATAATAAAAGAAATAATAAAATTTATGCAAAATATTTATCAATTTAGTAATGGCATGTAATTAGCTAATTACCTGAGTAAATGGATGTAAAATATATTTACTTATCAGATGTAAAATTTCATTTATATGTGGACTTAATAACTTAATTAAAATTTCTCTTATATCACTTCTTAATACTATTCAGAAAAAAAAAATTATCATAATTAATTAAATAAGAAATAGATAATAAAACTAAAAATTAAGAAAAGAGAGATTATAAGACAAACAGTAAATAGTATATAAAATATGAAGAGATTTTCTCCAATAATATTGAAACAGTACATCGTATTAATTTAAGACAGAGATCCTAATTATTAATTTAATAATAAATTTTAAACTTAACACTCTGAACGTAAATATTTACACCATTCAGCTATTGGCAAACAATGCAACTAATCATGTTAAAAATTAAACACTTCATATTCATATAAGATTCTTTTATACACATTAACATTTTATTACATAAAAATTAGTTTTTAAATATAAATACTATAATATCATATTGTAATTATTTCCAAATGATATTCTCATGCTTTGTTTATTTAAATTTATACAAATTCTAAGAGTACATCATTTGTATTGTGCTATAGATTCTATTATAAATAATAAGAATGCTAGGTTTTGATTCTTGTTTCATTTTCTTCATTATATATATATCAATAATAAAAGACAAAAAAAATTAATCTTATTTCACTTTTACCAAAAATATACTAAATACATACAAAAATTATTTTGTTTCATAAATCACTTATATCATATGAAATGCAGACTCCTCCAAAAGCTGAAACTTTTCTAGTAACCAACAGGAGACCATTTTCATTTAGCTAAATGAGATCCAAAGCATTTGTACTATAATAAAAATTTGTGGAAAAAGTGAGGAAGGTGGTCTCTTGTTGGTTATCACATAAAAATTACACTTTCTGATAGTGTTTTCTTATTAACTTCATTAATAAAACAATTTTTTATTTCTGCCGAAATACTAAATAGTCATTTTAAAACATTATATCCTTTAATATATACATAATTTTATATATACTATTAAGTAAACCAATATTTTTTACATTAATATCCAATTTNTCTTTAAAAATAATAATATGTATCAAAATCTGATAATTGTAATCATGGATATTGTGATAATTCATTTAATATCAGAATCAACATGTTCCAAAACATACAAGTTAAAATGTACTTATACACACTTACTGTAATCAAAGTCCAGTTGTGTCAAAACTATCACCTTTTTAATGTTTTTGACCTACTCCAAGGTCTTCAGAAAATTTGAATTCTGGAATGCTCATTTAATGTTCATTTCAAATCAAAATAAACTTTAATTTTTGCTGTCATGCACATTACAGAATGCCTTGATATGCAGTTTATAAGGTAATATCAAAGCATGCTTGCCATACTTTCAAGATCATTCTTTCATCCTTATTATTAACACAGTTCCCTTATCTGGTTGCCTTAAAAACATCTGTATGTGGAGAATATTTCAGAGAGATGGAGGCTCTTGACATTTTCAAGGCAACCAGGGAAGGAAACTGTATTAATAACAAAGAAGTAAAAATAATCTTGAAAGCATGGCAAGCATGCTTTGATACTACCTCATAAATTGCATATCAAGCAAGACATTCCATAATGTGTGTGACAGCAAAAATTAAAAATTTATTTAATTTGAAATGAACATAAAAACAAGCATTCCAGTATTCCAATTTCCTGAAGATCATCTGAGTAGGTCAAAAATGTTAGAAAGGTAATAGCTTTGACATAACTGGACTGTTTTGGCAGGTTAGTGAGAATTTGTGGCTGCAAAAATTAATTAATAATAATAATAATTACAATTAATAAATCTTCATTTTATACATTTTTTAAATATTTTAATATATGCTTTTGATGTCAGAGTCAATAAAATAAGAACATATATTAATTGTAGCCTTATCAGTCAGTTATCATCATCAGTAGAGTTGGCAACTAAAATTTTCAAATTTCACTAGACCAGAGCCTAAAAATTACTATGTATACATAACAAAAAGTTGAAACAGATGCTAGTAATATTAAAATGCGCCAATAATAAGAATCAGTATCTCCACATCAACTGATAATCAAAATATGAATAATTAGCTAAGTTGTTTTTTATTAAACATTATAGTTATACATTTGTGATCTCACTTAAACTATAAAAGTTATTTTTAATAAAAAAATGAAAGTTTATTATTCATAATTCACAAATCTCTTTACTTAATAAAAACAAGTTTTTCAACATTTTTATGGTTTCAAATATCTTCTTATTAAATTAAGTTGACAATAATTAATTTCAATATGAAATTATATATATAACTTACCAATATAAAATTAATCATTATCAACTGTATTATCAAAGTATATATATATGCCTATTATAAGTTTTCAATAAAACTCATCCTATCATTGTGGACTGTATACACTATAAAAATTACTTCCAAATGTCATTCATATAAAGGTTTATAATAAATGTATTTAAATTATAAAATGTGATATTTAAAATTAACTTTACCACATCTAACATTTTAAACGAAGGAAGAATCATTGTAATAGGAGAATATGTCATGTATATAAAGGCTTCTATTGCTTGTTTGAACAGTTCATTTTTTTTCAATTCTAGACATATTTTCCAGCTTTCTTCAACAACCGCAGTAAATAATTCTTCATTTATGCACATCTATAAATATATATATTATAATACATTATTATTTTATTATAAAATTAAATTAATCATTGAATGAATCATAAAATCTACATTCTTAACTTATTTTTTACCCTTGGCAATACATGATGTAAACATTTAAATAAGAAAACAATTGCTTTAGAAGATCCTGTTTCTAAGAAATGCATGGAATTTTTTTCTAAATAATCAATAATAATTTCGTCTTTTTCATTTCTTAAATAATATTCAATACATTGCCAAATAGCACATTCTGCATTTGAAGTAAGCTCTCTCCAAAATGCTTGAGATATTCTGTCACTAAAAATTTGTTAAAAAAAGAAAATTAGATAAATATTTCTATGGAATATTTCTCAGTACAATTTTCAAGATAAAAACAGGTTTAATTTTAAAATTATAAAAAAAATTCTTTAAATTCTTATAAATAATTATGTATGATAAATAAAAAATGTAATTAATATTTAAATATTGCCATAATTACACAAACATTTTTTTTTTAATTTTGATATAATGTTTTTAATAAATTATTTAATAAGTGGAAATCATAATAGTTAATGTTGTCAAATAGTCATATTTAAAAAGTATTTACATAATATTTAATATTAGAAATAATTCCAAAATTATTTTACATTGTCAATTTAAAAATAAGGATAGCATCTTACAAGGAGACCCTACAACTTTGGGGAAACGGATTTTGATGATCTTTGGCGTGGAGGTAGTACGCCAGGTGAGTGTACTACCTGTAAAATACTAAAGTGCAACACTCGTATATAATCGAGAAAAATGAACTTAAAGTTTTCTTTAGCACTTTATATATAAATTATGTGTACTTCTGCTTACATGCAAAATTAAAATTATACCACCAAAATGTACTCCATTAGTTCAACCATGTGATGTCTATTTTTATAGTCAAACAAAAAATTTCATTAAACAATTACAAAATAGCACTTAACTACTGGACAAAAATTATGAAATTCATTCTCGAGAGGATTGCCTGAAAATATACATTCAATTAGCCATCAATTATCAACACCAATATTTTGTGACATGATAAAATATGCTTGGTATGCCAGTGGACTCTGTGATATAAGAAAGTTTTTTACAAATGTAAATGAAGCTTGTTTCTCATCAGACCGTTTACAAATACCTTGCAATCGTAAAAAAGCAGCATTAATTTGTTGTTCTAGGTGCAGACAGAATTTTTGTTTTGAATGTTTTTACCATAAGTATCATTCAGAATCATGTACATCTGGCAATGATATGTAATTATATAATATTGCTTCAATAAATTAAGTTTGTTTTTCTCGATTATATTTGAGTGTTGCACTTTAGTATTTTACAGGTAGTACACTCACATGGTGTACTACCTCTACACCAAAGATCATCAAAATCTGTTTCCCCAAAGCCGTAGGGTCTCCTTGTTAGTACAATTTTTTTATATCTAAATTTTTGGCTAGATGTTGCAATTTATGTTATATATTTCTGTTTTCCTGAATATTTTGATAAACAATCTGTTCATATAACTGTAGCCAGAGGAGTCTAAGAATATATCCAAGAGACCTCTAAAATATTAGTCCTCTGGAAATTTTGGAATATTTTTTATTATAAAAGTTAATATATTTTATCAATAAAAGTAAAAACAACTATCAATTAAAAATATACTGTTCCTGTATAATCAAGTCACCTATAATTTCAATCTGTCAATAAAATTTTAATCAGTAAAGAGATTTTTGCATTTTTACTAAATGAAAATAAGATAAATTATTAATTAACAATTGTATTTGCTTTATCATTTAATGATAAAATATGAAATTACTATTAAATCTTACACAATAATTTTTACAATATAATAATATAAAATCTTCATAAATAATGACAGTGAATTAAGTTATACTTATTATATGGAATCAGATTATTTATATCTGTTAACGATATGTTAACAAGAATCATTCTTCTGGATCTAAAGTATCTAAAACTTTATCCATTGTACTGTACTAATATTATCCATATTCTTAATACAAATACAAAAAATATACCCATTCAAAACTTTTGTAATAAGTTTCGGATATTAAAATCTATGTAATATTCAAAACAAACTATACTTTCTTTTCTATAAAATTTAAATTAATTTTATTTAAAAAATAGCTGTTACATTTAAAAATACTTTTATATTTGTTTTAATATAATTAAAATATATTTTTGTATATTAAGAGCATCATTTTAGTAATTATGTATCAAATATTATCTTAATTTTTATATTATTTGAAAAATAAATAAAACTTACTTTGGTATATTTGGCTTACTAAATGGATTTCTTAAACAATTCATATTAATGTAAGATTTTATCATGTTTAATATTTCTTTTTTGATATGATTTTTATGCATTTCTGCAAAAACGGATGATTTGCAAACACATACCAGATAATTCCAACAAACAAAATTAACTGTATCAGTGGATTTCTGAAAATAAATATTGTGAAAAAAATGCTCTTAAAATTTTTTTTTTTATATTTTTCACCTGTTTACTAAATAAACTAATATAAATTATAGATCTACAGTACAAGTATATAACTGTAACAAATGATAATTTAATTTTGCAAATAATAATTTTTATTACAAAATTACATTATTTATTCATCATTCAGCCCATAATTAAATGAATGAGATTGTCAATGACTAAAATAAAAATTAATTTTAAAGAAAAGAATTAAAAAACAAAAAAAATTAACCTGCTCTTCTAAGATTCTTTGTATGCATTGTTGTACGTATGATTGAATTGTTGGCCAGATACTAATAAAATTTCTTTCTTCTACAATCATCTCAAATATTGCAATATAAGTTCTTAATATTTCAATATTTTGAAACTATAATAAAAGAAATAATAAAATTTATGCAAAATATTTATCAATTTAGTAATGGCATGTAATTAGCTAATTACCTGAGTAAATGGATGTAAAATATATTTACTTATCAGATGTAAAATTTCATTTATATGTGGACTTAATAACTTAATTAAAATTTCTCTTATATCACTTCTTAATACTATTCAGAAAAAAAAAATTATCATAATTAATTAAATAAGAAATAGATAATAAAACTAAAAATTAAGAAAAGAGAGATTATAAGACAAACAGTAAATAGTATATAAAATATGAAGAGATTTTCTCCAATAATATTGAAACAGTACATCGTATTAATTTAAGACAGAGATCCTAATTATTAATTTAATAATAAATTTTAAACTTAACACTCTGAACGTAAATATTTACACCATTCAGCTATTGGCAAACAATGCAACTAATCATGTTAAAAATTAAACACTTCATATTCATATAAGATTCTTTTATACACATTAACATTTTATTACATAAAAATTAGTTTTTAAATATAAATACTATAATATCATATTGTAATTATTTCCAAATGTTATTCTCATGCTTTGTTTATTTAAATTTATACAAATTCTAAGAGTACATCATTTGTATTGTGCTATAGATTCTATTATAAATAATAAGAATGCTAGGTTTTGATTCTTGTTTCATTTTCTTCATTATATATATATCAATAATAAAAGACAAAAAAAATTAATCTTATTTCACTTTTACCAAAAATATACTAAATACATACAAAAATTATTTTGTTTCATAAATCACTTATATCATATGAAATGCAGACTCCTCCAAAAGCTGAAACTTTTCTAGTAACCAACAGGAGACCATTTTCATTTAGCTAAATGAGATCCAAAGCATTTGTACTATAATAAAAATTTGTGGAAAAAGTGAGGAAGGTGGTCTCTTGTTGGTTATCACATAAAAATTACACTTTCTGATAGTGTTTTCTTATTAACTTCATTAATAAAACAATTTTTTATTTCTGCCGAAATACTAAATAGTCATTTTAAAACATTATATCCTTTAATATATACATAATTTTATATATACTATTAAGTAAACCAATATTTTTTACATTAATATCCAATTTTAATGATAAGAATTACATTCTGACTAATATAATAACTACTTTAAAAACTTTTTATATTAACCAAGCTTGTAAATCTGGAGAAGCACTATATGTAATTTTATGCTTTCAAACTAAATGAAGTGAAAAAATGCATAATATAATAATTATGAAACAAGATATTTATAAAAATAATTAAATATTTAATGAATATAAAATGAATATATGAAAAAAAATATATTTAATTCATTAAATATCTTTTTTTAAAAATTATTAATATTTTTAAAATATATTTTAAAAATTCATTATAATTAATTTTCAGTATTAGCTTATAAAGTTCTTACCATTTTTAGAAAATTGTGTTGAATTATGGTTATTTACTTTGGTTTCAATCAGAAGATTTGAAATAAGATCCAAGCAAAAATTAATATTTTTTACAGGAAGATAAGGCCTAGATTTTGCAGAGGCTAATATATCAACAATAGACTTTAACAGTTTATTAAATATAAGATTATCGTACATTTTATTATGTTTAGTTTCCTTTGATATATTATACGCATCAGCAAACAAAACTATAATACGGGCCACTGCTGCAGAATTTGATGTTCCAGGGAATGATATTTCGACAGTTTCATCTGTTAGATATATTATCAAAAATTAATATATTTTTATTTTTATATATTATATTTCACTTAATATAAATAATTTGACAAATTAATAGATTAAAAAAAATTAATGGAGAAAGTTATTCACTATTAATACTTTTTGTATTTAATTACATCATACATATAACTTTTGCATTTACAGAAGATTATATTTTTATGCATTCATACAGTGAACAGCAAATCATGAAATACTTATCTCAAATTAGCTTTGCCAGGTAGAAATTGTTCTCTTTCTGAAGGATTTCACATTTCCAAACTCAATGATCAATTTTCTTTATTATTTTAATACTTTTGTTAATATTGTTGTAGACGAAAGACTTTAATTTTTAAAATGTTTACATAAATTAACAAATTAAACAAAATAACACAAATTCTAATTATTTCTGTTAAATTGACAGGCATATGTATTTACATTTGAAACACAAATGCTTAAGTAAAAAAAACTGAAATTAATTTAAAATAAAGAAAAGAAGAAAATAAAGATAATTACAAAAATTATTGGCTGATTTAACAAAGTGTTTAAATAGACCTCTGTCACATGATGCATTGGTCAATTCAGTGGGAGAAATTTTGTCTACTATGATTAATATTTCAATAATTTGTAATTAGAAATGTAATTTTCTTCTTTTAATTTGTTTAACTTTTGAGAAGTTTTGGCATACATGAGCTTTTTTTGTGTCCAAAAGAAAAAAAAAAAAGAGTCCAAATGGAAAAGTCTGGAGATCTTGGAAGTCATGTAACTGGCCCTACACATATAATCAAGTCTTGATGGAAAATACAGTTCCACTGTTGGTTCAAAGACAGATTATCAAACCACAGTTGTAGATAGTTTTCAAGCAGATCTAAATATTAAAACACTAAAGAAGTGTAATAAGGTTAAAAATTAAAAACTTTTTTAAAAAGCCTCAGTCAGTTATTGTATATTTGTTAAGATAATTAACTGTTAAAAGTACAAGTTTTCTTTCTGACTGTTCATCCAACATAAAACTATTTTAAATAACAGACATTACAAATAATCAAATAAAATTTGATTTACTTTTTCGCAATATCTTTAATGTGATAAATGCATTTTGATTTAAGAATCCTCATCAGTATCACTTTTTAACAATTGCTGGAACATTAAAAAGCAATTTTATAGTTTTCCTTACATAAAAGGACTGTTCAAAAAACAAAATAAAAAATTAAAATAAGAATATATTAATTTAGTTTTTTTTGGTTAACTAATAAACTAAACATTACAGGAATAAAAAACAAAAAATTAAGTGAAGAAGAAAAGTTAAATAAATCAGGAATAAACTGTGAACTGAAATATGATTGTGATAAAAATACAAAGTATATTGGAGAAGTGGGAAGACAACTGAAAACTTGAATAAAAGAACATGCAACAGTGTCAAGACTGAAACATAAATGGTCCCCATGGACAATACATCGAAGTGAAAATAATTGTAAAATATTGTTATATGAAATAAATGTTAAAAAAAGAAAAATTAAAGAACAGTTTGTCAGAACTGAAAATTAGCAAGAAAAAATGGAAATGCAATAAAACCAGGTATGTGTCTCTGGAATAGCACATTATTGTAAATGACGTTGATACAAAATGACAATCAATTGTCGGAAACTCGAAATTTGTAAGTAATAACTTAAATGTAATGTACATTGTAAGTTATAATTATATTTGTTCTTTAATGTTCCAGCAATTGTTAAAAAGGTAATACTGATGATTGTTAAATCAAAATGCATTTATCACAATAAAGACATTGGGAAAAAAGTAAATCAAATTTTATCCGATTATTTTTAATGTCTGTTGTTTAAAATAGTTTTATCTCAGATGAACAGTCAAAAAGAAAACTTGTATTTTTAACAGTTAAGATCTAAATGTTTTTCAAATTAATGAAAATCAAGGTTGTCAATTAGTTTTTCACACATCCAATGATAGAATCCTGATTATAATGGTTTGTCAATAGGATTCAACACCTGATGAATTTGCAGCTTGTAGAGATGGAAGTTAGTTTCATATAAAATCCTGATAATGGACCTTTGGCTTCCAATGCAACTTTACTGAAAAAAAGATAAAGGTTGTTTTCTAGTCATACTGATTGTCAGTTGTTCTTTTGTCATTTGTTGTAGTTTTCCAGCAGTTAGATCAGGGCTTGTAAATGCTTCCATTCTGCTTGAATTTTCTTAACAATGTTAATATTGCAGAACAAGTAGAAACCAGTTAGTTGGATAATAGGCATGAAAAGCTTTGGTTGTTTCTTTTAAATTTCTGTTTCTGTTATAATTATTTACCAAAAAATTCTCCCCAATCATATATTTTACCATTTTTATCATGTGTGATGTGTGCTGACATTGTGACCAAAACTACTGTTGAAAACCTAACACGTGTTATCTCTGCATCACTTTACACACTAGAACCAAACAATTCTGCTGTTCAAAAAGGAAATCAAGCAGTTCCTCTAAACAACAAAACTTGCATATTAAAATGGATTTTTTTCTTCTAATAGATTTCCTTTATCAATAACTTTTTGGCTCTTGGTTAATAAGAAGTTGACAACTGGACATTTTAAAAACAATAATTCTCTTCCTTGAAAAATGCAACATGTTTGAGGAAGAACAATTTCTACCTGGCATAACTAATGCATCATAAAATACAAAGTAGGTGTTTGTTGACTTTTACCATTCATTGCAATACATTTCAATACAATCCAATATACAGTGCTGAACAAAAGTATAAGGTTATTGTAAAGTGTGATAATTTATTAAAACAGCAAACTAAGATCAAAAAGAAAGTAAATATCAAAATCAATGACACTGAAAAATTTAGGGATTATAAAAAAAGAAACAGTATAAGACTTGTGTTATGATTTTTATTCAAATCAACACAAAGCATCTTAGACAAAATTATAAAGTCAAAACAGAAATTATTGAATTTTATCAAAATAAAAAAATATACATTGGTTGAATTAAAAATCAGGCATTAAAAATCAATCATCATACCTTTCTTAAGTAGCACTTGTAACAATTTCTCTGTCACAGATGCTGTGAGGGTTTTCAAAACTTTTATCCAAGTTCTCCTGTGAAGTATGTATGACATTCATTAGTTCCTCCTTAGTGTTGAATTGATGATGTTCATTATCATAAATATTGTGTGCCAACAAGCCCACAGATTCTCTATGGATTTTGGTCTGGGCTACATGCTGGCCAGAACTGTAACACTATTGTCCAAAAACCATTCCTTTGTGCTTGTGGATCAATAGCATGGAGCATTATCCTGTTGAAAAATTCATACATCAGGTATACACAATAGTGCTTGTGATAGCAAATATTCCACAGATGTATTCTGATGATGAAGAAGTCATTTGAGTAGAAACTGTCACAATCACTAGAACACCTCAGCAGCAAATGAACTCCAGACCATCATCAACCCACTTCCAAACTGATGCTTTGAGAAGTACTGCTTATTGTTTTGGATGTGATGCCAGTAATATTGAAAGCCATCTAACTTAAACTTCTCATCTGAAAAGTCAATATTGTTCCATTTCTCACTAAAGGTTACATGCTGATAAGCAAATGGCACACATGCATTTTTCTGGACCACAGTTAAAGGAGGGCAGCTTTTCATTTTTGTGAAGCTAAGAATCTTTGATGTGTTCTAGAGGTACATGGAAGATTCATGTACCGGTACCTCCAGAACACTCCACTCTTCAGATGTCCACTATCTCTGAAGAGAAGCATTTGGTCATAATGTGCAAGAGATGTTACTTAGTTTTTTGGCAGTTGGTTAATGCTGGTGGTCTTCTTGACCACTTTCTTGTTCCATACTCAGCTGGATTTTGTAGAAAGGCATTCACAACAGTCTTCAAACATCCTATATCAACAGCAATTTGTGCTCCCATTTTTCCACATTGCTTCATTTCCTTAATTTGTCCTCTTACAAACTCAGATAATTGCCTACCTTACCTGGTCTGTTTGTTGTTATCTGTTTGCTCCTGTACTGAGTAATAATTGATGTTATGTTATGTTAACTTGGTTTGTAAGGCTAGAGATGTATGCACATTTTTTCCTGGTTTGTCTATCATTACTTGACAAATCACAAAGAAACATAGTATTCATGATTAGGCTCTTATATTTTTGTTTGAGGTGTATTTGAATTAAGTAACAGACCATGAAACACATCTTAAATATTTTTACAAATTCTTATGAAAAAATTTTTCTATGCCATTGTTCTCATCATTCATTTTATTTTATTTATATATGACAATCTCAACAAATTATCACACTTTTTGCAATAACCTTATGATTTTGTCCAGTACTGTATTACATAGAATTAAAACTGTAATGTGCAGGCCTCAAAATACCTGTAAAATATTTTATTTTATTAAATTTTTATAGCAGAAATGCAGATTTACCTTAATCTCTGCACTAATATGCATTTTGTACCTTACATAGTGTAAGGATAAAAATTTTTTAGATTTTCATGGCTCCTGTGAACAAGGATAGGATTAGGCACTGGCTTCATCTCCCATGAAATTCATACACACATTCTTTTAAATGCTATCCATTGGGGAAATAGAATGAGAGGTAGGCAGAGCTTGTTCCTCTTATAGCCAGTAGATAGAAGTGAACGCGTACTAAAACACAACAGAAAATGTACTGAAAAGGGAATAATTTAAATATATAGGGAAGAGCAGGATAAAGTGGCCACTCTAAGCTAAAATGATTTTTTACTCATATTTTATAATTCAGAAAAACGATAAAATAGTTCTAAATAAACTACATGTAGTGTAAAATCAAGAAAAAATTTTATTTTTGTATTAGCACAACATGAAATATTTTTAAATTTTTACAAATTTTTATACGAAAATGGCCACTTTACCTAACCTAGTTGGATAAAGTGGCCAGTGATCACTGTAGGACATGAAATTCCATCATTTCATACAGCATTAATGGCCTGCTGCATGGCATGAGAATCCCAGTCCTGCTGGTTTGTTTTTTGTCTGTAATGGGATGGCATTGCATCATCTACCTGTAAAATGTAATTAATTTTCTATAGGTAACCTTTAGTAATCTTAAATTCTTAGACTTTAGATTAAATTAGATTTAATCTTTATTATATTTTAAATTATTATATGGCATTGATTTATTAGTTTTATTGATAAAATAATGTAATATAGTTTTTCTGGCAAAATGGCCAGGAAGGTCACCATTACACAAAATCATGTTTAGACTAAAAACTGACCAAGCTACTTCATTTTATTCCACAAGGTTTTAAAGCAAAAGCATACTCTTTCAATGAGTTTAAAGTAAATAATTATAAACTTATTACTATCTTAGATAAAATAAAAAGTATCATCTTACATTTATCTTATCTTGCCTTACATAACACAAGATGAAAACCACAAACCTTTACTAACACAAAAAAGAATTATGTCAAACTGCTCAGATGCTCTTATAACACTTCCAGCTTCCTGCTGAAGGAGTTCAAATGCTTGCTACTAGACAGCAGCATTATCTCAGAAAATAACAGCAGATGGCAACTTTACCCACACTGGCCACTTTATCCTGCTCTCCCCTAAAGTTGTTTTTAAATTTTGAGTAAAAATGTCTTATAATACAAATAAGTAAGTTTGCAACTTTATGTGTAAGCATAGACAGTATGCATATGTCACCATCTTACCATTATTTTTTATTGTTTGTTATTATCAAAATCAAAACTTTTTTCTGCATGCCTACTCCCCAATCTTACCACATGCCACTACATAGAAAGCTTTGTAGAATCCACATCAAATCTTTTAAAAAATATTCAGAAGTTTTATTTTATTTTTTCATTTATATTTCCTTACATAAAATGAATTTGACCATTATAATACATTAAAAATTAATAAAAACTTAATATTAAATATTGTATTTAATTGCATACCTTTATCTTTACAGCTAATATAATTATCCACAATATCAATAACAAATCTATTTATATCAGATGTAATTCTCTTGTTTTTATCAAATAATTCTTTCAACCAAACTATGGTAGCATCCCACAGAGAAGTTCCTCGACAGAAACATTCATTTCGTTTCAAAACAATAAGTAATTTTGAAATATCTTCAAGACTTAATTTTTCCTATATTTATATAAAAATTGTTAAAATAAAATCTTAAATTTAAAAAACACATTAAAATAATAACCTTTTACATACCATGTCAATTAATTGATAAAAAGATTTCATAAAAAAGGTTTGAATTGCACCTCTCAATAATAAGTCTTGTGTTCGCAATGAATTTAATATAAGTTCTCTAAAACAAAATAATAACAACATTAAAGTAAAATTATAAATAAAGTTGAGTAGCATATTTTGATGCATATAACCTCACAATGGTATATACCGTAAAGAAAATTGCTAGAACAGAAATAAAACCTTTGCATAACCCACCCACCATACATCCTACATCTATTCAGCAGCCAATGAAAGAATGACATTGATATGCAGTTTAAAAAGCACTATCTCAAACTTTAAAACTTGTCGTTTTTCTATCTCACTTTATTATATACAGTGGTGCCTCGTATAACATACGCCTTGAATAACGGATGCTGCGAATAACGGACTTTCTGTTTGACCGTTACGTGACTCGAGCAACGGACTTGCTGCGAACAACAGACTTTCCATTCGGCAGTTACGTGAGACGAACAATGGACTTTCTTTGAACAAGTGCGAATGATGTTTCCACTCTTTTGCCGTTGCCAATGACAATCTGCTATTTTTAGGATATATTAGTATTATTAGAATGTATTATTAGTATATCTGAAGTAGAAATGTAATGTAATATATGTTGATGATTTAAGTAAACATTAAATGTAATGTAATATATGTTGATAATTTAAATAAACATTAAATGTAATGTAATATATGTTGACGATTCAAATAAACGAAATGTAATTGTGTAGATGCCGAGGTGGCGGGACGAAAAGAGGTTGTAAAAAACAAACGAAGCGAGAGTAGCTCGTAGAAGTGTTTAGTGATCTTAACTAATAAAGAATTATTCGTATCATATAATCTGGCAAAAAACAAAGGATGGAACAAGAGAAGTTGACCCTGCAAGTTCCAGTAGCCTCTCCTGAATCTGACTCCGATTAAAAAACAATAAAAAAAGACCCGCTGCAATGTGTAAAAAGTCTGTATCTGTATGAATGTGTAAAGAAAGTGTCCTTCCACCTCCTCCTCATAACATTGACTACCCGGCATAATTTTCATTTTTTATGGTACAGTACGGTTATTTTATGCTGCAAAACGAATTATATGTTTTAACATGTATTTCTATGGGAAAATGCGTTTCGTATAATGGACGTTTCATTTAACGGACGTGCACCTGGAACGGATTAAGTACGTTGTACGAGGCACCACTGTATATAATTATAAAATAAGTGAAACAAAAACATGAAATACAGAAAGAGAATGTTCTAAATTTCTTGGGTCAAATATACAAATGCCCACAAAACAATAAAAATGTTTTTGATCATATTGCTTCATTCCTCTCTTTTTGTTCTATTTATCAAATAATATTAATATCATAATAATATAAGATGAATTCTAAAATAAATTCAGAAAAAAAATAGAAAATAACTTAGTGTCTATAACATCCAATGACACAATTTTGGGAACTGATCACTCAGACACTGTAAAGAACTCTAAGCTTAGTGCTTAGTTCAAATAGACATTTGCTAGCAGAAGTGAAAGCAGAATGAGAAAAATAATTTATTTTCACATAGTGAATTTAATTCTCACTACCTTTCACAAAATGAGAACAGCAAAACAAGCAATCATGCAAACAACAGCAAACATCATTAAAACAAGATGATGGCTAATAACAGCAAGCTTTTGTATTATAATGTTCATTTATTTATCAAAAATTTCAAAATTAATTATAATAATTATAATCCTATCTCCAGAAATCTGTCATTCTGATTGGCAGAGAATGTTTTTTTGTCCACAGAAAAGTTCAAAATGTTAAACTTCACAAAACAGAAAAATTCACTGGAATGATTGTCACTGCCAATGCAATGTTCATTCCTTTTTCTGCTTTTCATTAGTGATTCACTAAGTATATGCTAAGCTTAACTAAAACTAAACTGAAGATATTAGGATTATTTTCCATTTAATTTTCTTTGAGGTTAATTTTAACTATTATTATTATTTGGTGGTATTGGTAGAGTGTATCCTATTCAGCGTATATAGCAATGCCTAGTGCTATGGCAGACCAACATCAGGGCATAACCATAAAAAACAAATGTTTTATATATGTGCTGTTTGTGTATATATCTGTATTTGAAAATTTCTTGAATATGTACATGCATTTAGTGTGTAGCTTTTTGTAGATTGAAGTATGTGGTGTTGTGAAACCTCATTTCTAGACTTTTATGTAGTGTATGGTATGATACTTGTAAAAGAAAGAACAATTGGCACAATATGTACCTTATCCATTCTGGAAAATGTTAACTTTTTGTAATGATCTATATAAATTTGAGTGAATGCCTATTGTCTTCAGGCTTTTATGTAACAAATGTGGGACAACTCCTGTGGCAGATAAAACTATAGATATGGTAGGACTTTATTCATTTTCCACAGGCATTATCATTATTATTATATATTTCATTAATTTTTATGATAAATTAAACAAATATAGCAATATAATAGAAAAAATTTTTTTTCTCATTAGCAGCAAACTCATTCAAACCAAAGATATACTTTCTTATATACCATATAAGGTAAAGAGTTGATAGATTGTATAGTCAGACCATCCAATAAAATAGTGAAATTTATTTAGTTCGCCCAACTACTATTTAGAAAACATTACATGAAAATATTTTTTATCATCTTTAACTTGAAAGTTGTTCAATAATATTTTAAATTTTATATAAATGTCATTTTAATTAATATAAATAAATTTCTACACTACAGATTTTAAAGATTAAGGCAATAAACCAAAATTGCAATGACATCTTTAGTTTAGATTTCTGTAGCAAAAAAATACAGAAGTATTGTTTGTTTATTTTTGTTTGCATTATTGTTGTTTGTGAATGTGAGATCCGGAATTTTTACCGATTATTTGACGATTAATTGTCCCGTTTTTGCCTAAAATCCAACTAAATTTTCCTTTAACTTAAAGTGGAACCTAACGGGAAAAAAAACTTTTCGTTTATGTTCGACATAAACATCCGTTCAATTCGAAACTAATCCCACATTCCAACGCTAAAGTTTATAGTTAACATGGGCCCGGGAACAACTCTGACCCATCTGCATACCTTTTACCTCACAACAATTGGTCACATGACCATTCTCCCACGCCGAACTTATAAAAACCCCTTCCTTCCCCTTCTCGGGGGAGTCGTTCATTCGCCGTCACTTTTACAACTGTGTCCTATGAATATTGTGTCCTATTAATATACTGTGTCCTATACGATATTGTGTCCGGAAGAAAAATTATTATCCTAATCCTACCACATCGTTGGATATCAAAACCTTTTTCCTTAAGAATATTCAAAGACATAAAGAGGTATGGAACTTATTTTTGTGAACTCTCTCTCGGTCCTTCGCGGTTCAGGGATTCAGATTTTCCCTTTTGAAATTGGTTATTGTAATCTCTATGTAGCTAATAAATCGTTGTTATCCTGTTAAAGTGGTGTCATCTTTACTCGTATATCGCCGGTCATCTTACCGACGCACTCCTCCCTCCGCCACTCGACCCGAAACATTTAATCCCGTTACCGCGGGAAAGGTTAAAATTTTAATCCATCCTGACCAGTGAGAAGGGTTTAACGACCTGTTGCCGGATCGGGAGACCTACACCCTCCCCGGCGGTTCACATAAACAAAACATTGCATAATTAAGCTATGGTTATCATTTTAAATGTATACAATTATTTTCAGTCATCTAAATTCACTTCACAGCAATGACAAGAGCAAGAGTCTATAACTGACTAGGATCAAAACAATCACATCACCATCAGTTTTCAAAAATGATGTTATTATATATATAGAAGATAATTACTGAAATTTATCATCTTTCAAGATGCAATTCAAATAGGAATGTTTAATAATATCAATTAAGTACGGATTGAACATATTAAAAATGAGAACTAAAATATGAGAAAGATTAGAACTAAACTAAAGATGAGGTATGTATATGTGTGTCTTATTTGGTTTAAAGAAAAACCATGAGAAAATTAATGTCTGCAGCAACAAAGCATTTTTCACATTTTCTAAAAATGATCTTAGTGACTTTACAAAAAATAAAGATGTTTAATGAGTTCATAATTGCAATTTAAACTTGGCATATAACCTGCTTTATCATATAACTCATAATCCATTTCAAAATGTTTTTCAACCACAGTCCTGGATAATATGCATAAAAATATGATACTAATAAAAAATTAAACACTTTACATAAAAATAATATTATATATGTATGTATATATGTATGTATGCATAATGGATATGTTACAATTAAGTAGTGGTTCTAGATTCTAGAGAGATTATTGTTCAATTCATTAACTTGCAAAGAACAATAATTGGGCAAGTTTTACTTTGCCAATGTCATAAATGAGAAAAATCTCAAAAGATTGTTATATTCTATTTTGCTTAAAAGCAGAATAGAATTTAACAATCTTACATAGAACCTTAGCACTTGCAGTACTCTCTATTATCTAGTTCACTATACAGAAAAACACATATTTCAATATCAGAAATTAAGAAGAAAACATTAAAAAAAAAATTATCAAAATTCAATAAGTATTACTTAATTTTATCTACAGATGATTCATTCCACAATGAAGTTGAAGGTATTTTACAAAGTGCATGACTAATGTAAAATAATGCAACTCCTCCCCATGATAATTGATGAATGCATGTCAACAAATAATTAAAAAACTGAACTGTTAAGAAAATTATTTTATTAATATTTTTATTTTTTATTAAATATATTTTACAAATATGTTTCAATTTCATTTAATATTCATTATATTATTATTATTTTTCAACAAAATTATTATTATTAGAATTATATAAAATAATTAATTTAATAATTATTCTACATAATAAATAAATCAACATTTTATGTAAAATGAATATTATTTTATTAGAACAGGAAGTTGACAAAAAACAAATTTCATCAGTGATATTAAAGAATTTTATACATAACAGGAATAATATAATATATTATATGCAGATGCCATGAAAATATAATCTTAGATGTTCATTGTTGCAATATAATTAATATGTATAATAATAATTGTTCATTTTAATATTTCAGATTAAAAATTTATAAGATAACAGCAAATAAAATAAAAAAATTTGATATATTAATTTACCTTTTATAACAGTTGGATAAAAATTAATTATGATTTTATAAAATGAAAATAGTAATAAAACTAGTAGTGTAACACTTTTTAATTAATTTGTAATATATTGAATATAGTTACTTTCAAAAGTTCTTATGTGTAAATGAATAGAGAGATTGCGGCCAACGTTTGCAATGTGAAAACATGTACTGTACATCAAATGTTCAGTGCTGCCTTTCTGTAAGCCTACAAGTTTGACAATGGCATTTGGAATGTCAGTGGAATCATGCTCAACATTCCAAATGACATTGTCAAACTTCTAGGCTTACAGGAAAGTGGTGCTGAATGTCTGATGTACACTTTTTTGCATTGAAAACGTCGGCTGCAATTTCTCTATCTATCTAACTTTGTATATTACAGTAATGAAAATGTTATTTTCATAATCTATTATATATTAGCCATTTCATACAATTTTCTGATCATATTTTACCCTATACAAACCTAAAGAAAGATTATTACAGTAGAGCATCGATTATCCGAATCAATTGGAGACTGGGGTTGTTCAGAAAATCGATGTTTCGGATAACCGATTTTGTACAAAAAATATATTAATTTATCCTAAGTTGAAATTTTTCTCTGTTGCGTGTCGCTTCGCGTTGAATTTTTGTCGATGTTAAGCCTAACAAAAACTATTGTATCATTAAAAACAAATTTTTTATTTTGTACAAACAAAATAAATATATTGAAAAATATAAAAACAATAAAAATTATACTTCAGAAGTTAATTTAGTATCAAAAACGTAAAATATTTGAGTAGCCCAAGACATAGCCAAAGATTGCAGCGCCACAGCACTGGCAAAAATTTAAATTTGCCGACTGAAATTCTGTCGGATAATTGACATTTCGGTTAATTGACTTTCAGATAATCGACGCTCTACTGTATTATTATGAGATATTAAAATGAAATTGACTAGTTGCTTTTTAACTGTATTTTAATATCTTAAAACACTATTTATTTCTCTGTCTTTAATCATATAAAATGTTTAATTGATATTTTTATCTTACATCTTACAGCAAAAATGTAATTAAATACTTGTAATTATAATCATTTGGTATATTTAATAACAATTTAATTGAATTCAGTCCAACTTATTAAAGTTAATTTTTTAAACTTTTAGAATAGAAGTTCATATAACTTGCCTTGTTTATCTTTTATGCCAAGAATATAAAATGATGTTTTAAAAAATTCTCCAACTGCTAATCCAATGCTGGAACAAGTTCCAATAGGCTCTGAAGGAGATCTATTAAAAATTATATAAAATTAAGTTTAAAATATGAAATATAATGTGTAAAATGTGAAATATAAATAAATAAATTCAAATATAAAATGTAATGGTATAGGTAAAAGAGAACTTAATATATCAGTTTAAAGTCAATATGCAATCTGATATATTGACTTAGACTTAGATAACAAAATTCGGATAGAAATCAACAGTTCAGTGTATCCTCTAATACAAAAATCTGTTGACATTTTTTTGAACTTACATGATATGAGCATCTGATCATTATCCGTATGAATATTAATACAGTGCTACCTCAGGATACGAAATTAATCAGTTCCGAAACTGAGATCTTTTCATGAAAATGTCGTAAGGTGAATCATTTTTCCCCATACGATTACACGTAAAACCAAATAATTCGTTCCAACACAAAAAACACACTCAAATTAAAGCTAAGTAGTACATTGAAAAAAGATAACTTTAGTAAGGAAAACACTGAAAAATGCATTTTGTAGTTGTAAATGTATAAATAACCATAATAGAATAATAACTGATTAAAAAAATGTAGTTTTATTTGCACTTTACCTTGGAGGATAGACAACGGTGGAGGTGTAAACTGGTGGTACAGGAGAGAAAGAAGGGAAACGATACTAAAACTTAACTTACATAACATAATGTAACAATAGCTTAAAAATAACTTAACACTAATTTTTTAACTCTTCTGTTTTATATATATTTTTAAAATTTTTTATTCACGGCTTTTTGCTTTCTTTCCTTCACTTCCCCCAGCACTTTCGCTGGATACAAGTCGCTTGGTAAAATATCTATCCAAAGAGGTTTGGCTTTGCCTACTTTTTAAAATGTTTCTAAAATGACTTAGGCAAATGTCATTACTCCGAGTGGCAACACAGCCAGTGTGAACCTTTTCAGGATGTTTCTTTTCAATAAAATCGGTCATTTTCTGATAATACCTCAAGATTTCCTTTATCGAGTGAGATCCTTCCACGACAAAGCAAGCAAGTGGACTGAGACCGATGAGCAGAAGTGAATAAAAAATGGCGCTGCGAACTAACGTAACATCGTATGGTGAGTTTTTGTTCGTACCGTGGAGCAAAATTATGTTCAAATTTTGTGTCGTATCCTGAAAATTTCGTATGCTGGGGTGTTCGTATCCTGAGGTACCACTGTATATAATTATTATGTAAATTAAAATAATCGATTTTTAGTGAATAGAATATTAAAAAATTAATTACACAAGAAAATATCATATTGATAGATATTTGTTGCTTGTTCTTTTCAATAAAGAAATTATTAAAAAATTGAATATACAGGGAAATTGTATATTATTGTAAAATGTATATTAATTGAATTTACTGCAATGTTTTACCTGCTGTATAATGAAGCATCATTCAAAGTTTCCAATAATGTTGGAAGAAACTAAAATAAAATTAATCTGTTTAATTACAAATATATTTAAAATTGAATAATATAAAAACAATATTAAAGAAAAAATTTTTCTATATGTATATCCTAAAGACTTACTTTTTCAATTTGTGTCATAAGACATGAAAATGATGCCAAATTAAGATTTAGGAAATATGTTATTGCCCATTTTACAACATATTTACTTTCATGATGAAACATGCGATGAAATACTACCATAATCCAGGATGAATGTAAATGATTTGAAGATACTGATAATCAAATAAATATTATTAATAATATAATTAATTTATCTGCAATTTTAACTAGAATAACTTTCATACAAACTTACATTTGTCATTTGTAATCATAACTAAATTATCAATTTTTGGTAATAATGGCTTGATAATGTGAGTCTGTAACACCAATAAGTTTGTTAACTTATTTAGAATTAGTTATAATTTTAAGCATTTTTTTTAGTTAAAGAGAACTATTAGATATTTTTCTGTAGTTAAATAGTTTTCAAAATGTAAAGAAAATTAAGTACAGTAGAGCTCCAAAAACTCGGCACTCGATAACCCGGCACTCCAGATAACACAGCCACACACGGGCAGGGGGAAAAGTCCTTAGTTAATTAATTTTCATTATAGACAGCTTTATCCCTCATACAGTATTTTTCTGAGGTCTGTCTTATCAGGTAAATTACTGTACACAGTGTATTCATTAATTTTCATTTTTATGTAGTAAAGGCTCTATGCCTTCATAAAGGACGTACTTTTCCTTTGTTTAAGGGTATTTGGGCAGTTTATTCTCTGTTATATTCTCAAGTAAACAATACATACAAGTACAGTACAGTATTTTCTGAGGAAACACTC